TGGGCAGAACAGAATTCCCTGGCAGTTCAGTGGTTAGGGCTCCATGCTTTCACTGCTAAGGTTGCGGGTTCAATCCCTAGTTGGGGAACTAAGATCTGGCAAGCCACGGGGCAAGCACAACCAAAAACAAAGAAACAAAAAAAAAAAAAACAATGGGCAAACAAACAAACAAACAAAACAATGGGCTAAAGATCTAAATAGACATTTCTCCAAAGAAGACGTATGGATGGCCAAAAAGCACATGAAAAGATGCTCAACATCACTAATTATTAGAGAAATGCAAATCAAAAATACAATGAGGGGCTTCCCTGGTGGCACAGTGGTTGGGAGTCCGCCTGCCGATGCAGGGGACACGGGTTCGTGCCCCGGTCCAGGAAGATCCCACGCTCCCGTGAGCCGTGGGGCCGCTGAGCCTGCACATCCGGAGCCTGTGCTCCGCAACGGGAGAGGCCACAACAGTGAGAGGCCCGCATACCACACACACACACACACACACACAAAAATACAATGAGGTATCACCTCACACTTGTCAGAATGGCCATCATCAAAAAACTACAAACAATAAATGCTGGAGAGGGTGTGGAGAAAAGGGAACCCTCCTATACTGTTGGTGGGAATGTAAATTGGTACAGCCAGTATGGAGAACAGTATGGAGGTTCCTTAAAAACTAAAAATAGAGCTACCATATGATCCAGCAATCCCACTCCTGGGCATACATCCGGAGAAAACCATAATTCGAAAATATACACGCACCACAATGTTCATTGCAGCACTATTTACAATAGCCAGGACATGGAAGCAACCTAAATGTCCATCAACAGAGGAATGGATAAAGAAGATATGGCACATATATACAATGGAATATTACCCAGCCATAAAAAAGAACAAAATAATGCCATTTGCAGCAACATGGATGGACCTAGAGATTGTCATACTGAGTGAAGTAAGTCAGAGAAAGACAAATATCATATGATATCATTTATATGTGGAATCTAAAAGAAAAGGTACAAGTGAACTTATTTACAAAACAGAAATAGAGACACAGATGTAGAAAACAAACTTACAGTTACCAGGAAGTAAGGGGGTGGGGGTGGGGAGGGATAAACTGGGAGATTGGGATTGACATATATACACTAATATATGTAAAATAAATGACTGATAAGGACCTACTGTATAACACAGGGAACTCTACTCAGTACTCTGTAATGGCCTATATGGGAAAAGAATCTAAAAAAGAGTGGATATATATATATATGTATAACTGATTCACTTTGCTGTACCCCTGATACTAACATGACATTGTAAATCAACTATACTCCAATAAAAATTTAAAAAAAGAATTTCAACCCTGTGGCCACTAAAAAAAGGGTGTGGGAGATCTATATTCCTAGTATGGAATGCTCTCCATGACATGTGGCATGATAAAATCAAGTTGCAGAACATCATGTGGTCTGGAGAGATGCAAAACAAACTGTTCAGTGCTTACCTCCGGGAAATAGAGGGTTGGGGAAGGTTTTGAAGGGGAGACTCGCCTTAATTTCTTTGGCATTGTTTAATTTTTTTTAACTTCTATAATCTTTTAAAATAAAGAATTTAGCAGCAAAAATGGAAGCAGTTCATGCATACAAAGTACCAGTATCTCCATTATTGAAAGGTAGATGGTACTTCTCAGTTTACATTTTACAAAAATAAAAGTGCACAATGTTGCCTACCTTGCTTTACTTATGGAATAATTGTCAATTTTTGAATGTTAAGGCAGTTGTTATAAAGAATAGTGTTTTCCAAAACCTATTTGGACTTTGAGTCTGAGTAATCAAAGTTTTTTTTGTTTGTTTATATAAGTACATATAAATATAATACCAAAAAGATACCTTTCCTTTTTTAAAATGGAAATTACGGTACCACGAAGCTCATTTCCCATATTGATCTTATGAGCATTTCTTTTAAGCAGCAAAGCAGGGTTTGTCAGAGCTCCAGGCACACCAGGGAAAGGTGGGTAGGACTATCTCTTGGCATTTCAGTCAATATAAAAATTCCTTACTAAGTCACCAAAGGCACTGTAGAAACTTAAGGAACTAGGGACAGATGTCCTAAGGCTTCTGTGAAGAAGGTATAACCATTTGGGGAACTATTTGTCAAGCAGCAGCTTCATGTTTAAGATTGTGGAGAATTGAGAAAACAGTCTGACAATCCTTGGGAGACACAAAATGACTGAAATAATAAAATGCTAGGATACATCATTCAGGAAATTGTGTGGTTAGTAGCCAGGAAACTCGGAGGTCCTTGGTAGCCAAAATCAACAGGGAAGGCTTTATGGAGTTTAGATTTCAGACAAACCAGATTTTGAGAAGGGAAGAAAGCATTCCAAGTAAAGAATATAGAGAAAGATAGATTCATGACTTTAAAACAAAATTTTAAATGAACAGAAATCTGTAAATAAGTCTTGGGATAATCCTGATAATTGTAGTTTATGTAATACACTCTTACCAGAAAAGGCAATTTATAAAGGAAGTGAAATTACAAATCTGAAATTTCCGAGCTGAAAGACCTTACAGACCATGTAATCTATGCCCTCACACAAATGGTAAAACACACTCAGAGAGGTTAGGTGACTTGCATTGAAGTCTCTAATACATATGTTAGGACTTGAGTATTTTTTTCTGTCATACTTTGTTCCAGAAAGGATTTAGGGAATCTCTACAAATACATGATGTTTAAGATGCATCAGTTGAAAAAACAAGTAGCAGAATTAAATAGCATGATGCCATTAAGAAAGAGTATGTAAAAAAAAAATAGGAAAGAGTATGTATAGGGAATTCCCTGGAAGTCCAATGGTTAGGACTCTGGGCTTTCACTGCCATGGCCTGGTTTCTATCCCTGGTCAGAGAACTAAGATCCCGCAAGCCATGTGGCACGACCAAAAAATAAAAATTAAAAAAAAAAAAGAGAGAGTATGTATACAAGAACATTAAACTTGGACTATCAGTGCCCTTATGGGTAATCAATATTAGAACTAGTCCATATTAATTTTTGAATTTTAACTTTTTTTTTTTAATAATGTACATGTTCTTTTTCTTTTCGGTACGCGGGCCTCTCACTGTTGTGGCCTCTCCCGTTGTGGAGCACAGGCTCCGGACGCGCAGGCTCAGCGGCCATGGCTCGTGGGCCCAGCCGCTCCGTGGCATGTGGGATCTTCCTGGACCGGGGCACGAACCCGTGTCCCCTGCATCGGCAGGTGGACTCTCAACCACTGCGCCACCAGGGAAGCCCTACATGTTCTATTTAAAGTCAAGGAAAAGATGATTTTTTAAAGTGACTTAAGAGATAAACTATTCCTGATACCAAGACAAGAGGGAAATTTCTATTTGGTGCTCTACATAATATGATAAACAATGTCCTTAACAGAATAAATGCAGCATCAAGTTCTAAAGTCCATTCCTAAGGATAGGCTATGACAAAATACTGTCCCCTCAAGTTCAACCTAGATGCACAGCTAGTTCTCTGCTGGTCTGGCTTCATCTAGGGATTGACTTGAGAGAAGCTTGAAGAAAAGAATTCGGTGAGCAGGCTAATGTGCAGTTAACTGTATTAACTGCACATTAGCCTGCTCACCGAATTTCTTTGCTGGGAGAAGGGGAGCAGGTATCACCACTTTTAAAGTGGTGTTAAATCAACAGGTAATAATTTTAAGAGGATCAGTGGGGCATAACACACTATTTTTGAAACCCCTCTTCCAAAAAAATTATCAAAATTTAAAAAGGCCCTTACTGATCCCGGACATGCTAACCGCAATTCTGGATTTAAATCACTGATTACCGTCCGGAGTCAAACGCTAAGGAGAAATTATAGCAATAGCCACAGAGCATTCCACATTATTCCCAACAGGGACTAAGAATCATTAAATACTATTCAGTGGCAAAATTTTACACCAAAAGATCTTGTATGCTGACCAAACTAATAAAAAAATGACATAAAAATTACTGAAGAACTTACTTCTCTAAGTGAAACACTCCAGGGGGCGCCCAAATTAACCTATTTTATGAAGGCAGGGGAAAACACATGGCTCTAGGGATACACACAGCAAAAGAGGAGGACAAGAAAACACATCAGACAGGAATTCCTGGCAGTCCAGGGGTTAGGACTTCTCGCTTCCACTGCAGGCGGCACGGCCAAGAAAAAGAAAAAAAAAAAGGCCAAAAAAAGAAGGAAAGAAAACACATCAGAGATCTGAGAGGAAGCAGTTTCAAAGGCCATGGGTAGAGGCTGAGCATAGCTGGTCAGAAGCAAGTGCTGCTTTGAGATTAAGGAAGGTTGAGAACTTAGAAGACTCAGATTTGACCATGTCGTTAGCATTAGCTATGTTAACTGCCTGCTTTGAGGTAACTTTCAGTAAAATAGTTATGATTAAAGCTGAAATAGAGGGAATTTTATGAAAAGGCAGATAACTTCCCCCCCATCAGGTTGTCCTTTCAGATTCTGGCACGTACATGGGTAAATGTAAACTAGAATCGAGCAGACGTATTGGGCCGTGTAAGCAGAGCAGGCAGCAAAGCAATAGTTAATGACGCAGCCCGCACACACTTATTTAGGACAGGCGAAATTCCAGCCAGGCTTTCTCAAAACCAGGGCAGAATTTTTTTAAGTTGTACTTATTCCCATCTCTCAGATCACTTTAAACAAAATATGTATGCCTTGAGTCAGGATGAATAGATGCCTATTTTTTTCTGGAGATACTCAGATGTTCATTCATTAAAATCAATTTCACAGTTTTATTTTAAAGTAAAATTATTCTCACTTCTCTTCCTTCTCTACCATCAGCATATGACCACAGAAAGAAAAAATTTTGTTTTTTAAATAACACAACTCTTATATGATTAAATTGGCATGTTTCCCAATTAAAATACTGCACTCACTCCATTTCTGCACAGCTTTCTGTCCCCCTCCAATGCAGAAGTAGCCTCAATATGATGTTCCAAAGCCACAAAAAAGGACTTGAACAATGTCGTTCGTCATTCACTTTATTCAAACACTTAAACAAACGCATCTCTCTCCCAACAGGGCTCTCTGTACATTTCATTCTTCACAGTAAAGAAAAACGCCATCATTCCCCAAATCCATGAACAAGGGAAAATTTTTAGGACATCTTTAGTTTGTAGCAGAGACAACAGCCCAGCCAATCAACAATGCTACCCACAAGATGCCAGTTTCCTACCCCTACCCTTTTCTCTCTTCCTTTTTTAAAGATAAGATTTAAAATCTGCTCATTTTAAGAGAAGTATAGTAATCCACACAATTTATAACTAAAAATAATGAGGTTCTTAAAAAAGAACAACTTTCTCTATCTAGGTTCTAAGATGACTAGACCAGCTTGTGGGCGAAAGGAGAGATTATGAGGGACTGTGAAACAGGCAGATTTGCCTTCCTCCCTTGAAATCTCTTCAAGGTTCAGACAGTTCAGTAGATTGAAAAGGCCTCGGCTCTGACACATCTGAGGCGAAAAGCTCGGATGACGATGACCAACAAACCAAGGCAGTGTCGTGCACCTGGCTTTCAATAAACTGAACCTAAGACTGGGTGGCCCATGGATGAATGGGAGCATGCAACGAGAGGCAAGTTTCGACACACACATAGACTCCTCGACCCAAAGTTACTTTGGAGAGAAGCCATGAGAGGCTGCATCAGTCCTCAAACTTCAGCTAAGGATGGCTCCTCTTTCTCCCCAGTGTAAAACAGCAAATGCACCTATAAGGTGGAGTTGTCAATAAGAGTTCCCTTCCGACTTTGAAGCAAGGAGCAGGGGAACAATCAGAAGGCCTTCCAGATACACCCGGGAAACAGAAGGCAAACGAACATCAATTTAAACAGGCCTCACAAAAGAGAAAAATCTGTTGGAGGTCTTAAAAAAACACAACATTCATGGATGGGCACAGAAGGGAAACGGCGATGGCCTTGGGACTCCGTGGGAAAGTCCAGCAAGATGCTTTGAGATCTCGGCTCAGAGAGTGAGTTCAGCCTCCATCCACCACCAATGACTCCGCATCAGACGTATCCCAAAAGGAGTCTCCACGAGAGCCCATCTTCTTCCAAAGAGCTCTTAACTGAGATGAGTGTCCAACACACATCCTCCTCTGACCTGTCAAACTGCAGCTGCAGCGTCTTGTCTGCCCCTCACTCCCCTTGGCTCTCTGCTCTCCGGCAGTGGGTCTCAGGTCTTTACCGCCAGGCACGATTCAGGAGTTTCACCTGTGCCAGTCTCTTAGTGATCATAGTGGCAAAGACCAGACCAAAGAGGACGCTGCTGATTAGCACATAGTCATAGTCGTCCTTCAGGACATCAAACTGTTTGGATGGGTAGACTCGAGTTTGGTAAATGTCCAAACCGTAGGCCACAACCTGGAAGGCAGAGGGAATGAGAAATCCGTAAGAAAGGCACCAGTGATCCACCACAACCACAAACTCTGGTCACAAAGGAAACAGACTCCTCAGCTGTTTTCCCAAGGGTGAAAGAAACAACAGGTGTCGCACAGGGTGCCTGTGGACAAGGTGGCACAGGCTGAGCTGGGGCTCTACTCACCAAACAAGTGGACTCCAGGCCCGAGGGAGCTGTATAGATACCTCGCATTCGAGAAACTGTCTGGTTATAGTTGATGAACCGCTCTGCGTGGATCTGTACGTCTGGAGAATACGGGATCAGGTTCTCCTCTCTGCAAAACATCAACCAGGACCGGCATTCAAAACTGCTGTAAGGGGATCTCCTGGCTGCCCTGAGCCCTGGGAGGTTTCCAGGCCACGTATCAGCCACATATCTTCTTCCAAGGTCTATGTGCATCAGGGAATGTTAGGAAGGGCTGCAACAAAGAAAGCTGTATGGAGAGTAAGACAGATCTGGATTCCTACCTTGTTCTGAATCTAAAAAAACGAAACCACAGACGACCAGTACTTCACATTAGAGGAAGAAAGGGCCATTTTAAAACCAAAACATCAAGCCACTAGGCCAGTTCCTGCTCTTCACTCCAGAGTGCCTCAGTCCACCAGCTTTAACCTCCGCCCGCTCCAAACCGTCTTCCCTTCGCTGCGTGCAAAGACACATCTACTGCCTCCTCACCCTGCCCACAGCTCCTCACACCCCTCAGGGAAGAGAGTTCGGGATGGAGGCAAGAAAATATGCAGAGATGATGGCTGGAAACACAAAAATGAAAATTAGGACTTCCCTGGTGGCGCAGTGGTTAAGAACCCGCCTGCCAATGCAGGGGACACGGTTCAAGCCCTGGTCCGGGAAGATCCCACATGCCGCGGAGCAACTAAGCCCGTGCGCCACAACTGCTAAGCCTGCGCTCTAGAGCCCGCGCGCTTAGAGCCTGTGCTCCGCAACAAGAGAAGCCCACGCACCGTAATGAAGAGTAACCCCCACTCGCCGCAACTAGAGAAAGCTCACGCACAGCAACAAAGACCCAATGCAGCCAAAAAAAGAAAAAAAAGAAAGAAAAGAAAACTAACACCAACAGCAATTGGCTTCCCATGTGACCCAGGCCCCAGCACCACCCTCACCTCATTTCCAGTGTCCCCACCATTGGCTGCTCCAGCCACAGTGGCCTCCAGCCCTCCCTATAACTTACCAGGCATGATCTCAGGGCACTTGTGACAGCTGTTCCCTCTGCCTAGAACATTCTCCTTCGACATCCACAAGGCCAGCTTCTCGCCTCCTTCAAGTCTTTTCTCAAAAGTCACCTTTTCTGAGGGGCTTTCCCAGGCCACCCTCTCAAGTTGCACCCCTCCACACCCTTCCTAGACCCCACCCCTTCTTAGTTTTTTTCTCCTTGCTATTTACAAGCACCCTAATACAGAATTATTTCACTTGTTTATCTTATTTATTATCCACCTCGTCGCCCCCACCGGAATGCAAGCTCCATGAGGGCAGATGTGTTCACTGCCACATCCCCAGCGGAGCAGGACAGTGCACAGCAGACCAAGGACCAAATGTAATTAAGATGCTAAGTTCCTTAAGGTCACAGCCTTCAGCACTACCCACAAGGGTCTCACCTGCTCTGTTCTGTTGGGATCTCGGGCCGGCGGGGATCCAGCAAGGCCTTAGGAAGGGAAAGAATTGCTCCGGAAGGCAGCCCAACTACATACACAGAAACAAGTCAACAGAAGTGAGTGTTCACACTGACCTGATCCCCAATTAGGGATACTTACAAAAATGTCCTTATCACAGAAACTGAAATAGAGTTTAAAACCAAAAAAATGGGTCACTGAGGCTCCCTTAAATGGCCAAAAACAATAATCCAATACACCTGGGTCTGAATGAAGGTTCCCACTTTTGAAGATACTAGTTTTTTCACATATCATCCTGAGCCATCAGAAAATAAAGAGCTAGACTCAAGAACTGGGTAATGATGGCAGAGAAGAGCATGGAAGCCCACTTGGATCTCTTCATCCTCCTCCTTTCCTCCAGCAATACCGGCCCCAGCTAAGCAGGTCTCCTCACTGTGAGCCAAACAGGAGCCTACGGTTGGCTGAAGCAGTGACGCTGGTGGGGGATGGGGGTGGGGGGAGGGCAGCAGGAGGACTGGGCAACATGAGATCCCAGCGGTTTCAGGAATGGTGGGAATTAAACTCGGGAAATTACCAAGCAGTCTGTCTTCCTCATATTTGAGGGTAAAATAATAATACCAAGTGCCTGTCAAATCTGAGAGTCCCAAACGTCTTTGGTAAAATCAACTAGACAGAGAGACCTGTCTAGTTGAGTCCTGAACTTGAACTACATGAAGATGAGACCCTACACCTTGCCAGTTTCTGCAGCCCATCTGCACAGGCTACCTGTTGGGTATGGTATCAGGGCTCAACTTTCCAAACGAGGTGAAAACAGAACAGAGACATGAAAGTGGTTCGTCAGAAACAAGGACGAGGAGGGATGTGTCAGCTCTTTTATGGACGGCAAAGCCAGACTAGGGAACTTTCTCCCTAGCCCTCCTCACTGATCCCGGCCCCGTCCTTCCGTGCGGCTGTCTGAAGGGACCCGGTCACTCACTGAGCAGGTGTCGGCTGGTGATGCCCCTCTCGGTGATGGTGGCCTCCATGGCGCTGATGGCGGAGGGGAAGATGTAGGACTGCTGGAGGACCTGGGGCAGCTGCGGGCGGTCCAGGGAGCTGAAGGCCGTGGCGTTGTACTGCTCGGTGCCCTCATAGAGCTCCAGCGCGGTGAACTCGTTGCGCCGGGCCTTGGTGTTCCAGTACTGGTACTGCGGAGAGAAGAGGAGGGGGCTGCTTGGGGCTCAGCTGCTGGTTCAGCTGGAAAGGGGAATGTACATGCAAAGGCACGTCCAGGAAGGAAAGAAACAACCAGCACCCTAGCTTCCTTCCAGCTACCAAGTTTACTAACCTTTCAGGGTAGCTGTACCTAGACTATCCAAGTTCACCACAAGACAAAGGAATTCTCAAGATTCTTAGAAGTCAGAAGAATAATAGTTAACATCTGAGCGCTTACTACACGTCAGGCATTGTTCTAAACTCAAATAGAGGTGACTGTTGTTACCCCTATTTTATATATATTACAACACAGAAAGCTTAAGTAACTAGTTCAAGGTTGTACTGCTGCCAGCCAGGAGTTTTGAATTCTATGAAAACACAAAGTAGCAACTGGTTTCTGGAACAATAGGCAAGGAAAGGATTTATGCTGCAGGGAGACCAGCCACATACTCTTACGCTACGTCAGGCCCCTGGGGGTGCCCTGAGTTCACGCGCCACGCCTTACCACCACCCAGTTCTCCGAGTGCACGATGTGGACGGGGCCCTTGGCCTTCCTCTGCACGGAGGAGTGGATGATGCGCCCGGTGACGCCGTCCACAAGGAAGGTGCCGATGAAGGTGCGCTCGTGGTGAACATCTGTGCTCTCTGTCACCACGGCCAGCAGGTTGGGGTTCAGGCTCTGGGGAGACGAAGAGGAAAGCTCCTTCAGGACCACAGCGGCGTATCCTGAGCGGCGGGGAGGCAGGCCCACAGCTCTCCGGCTGACAGAGGAAGAGGGTTTTCTGGTGGGAAGAGCTTTCTGTTTAGAGGGCCTCATCGCTGCACTCATTCAGTGTCTGCTGGAGGCCGGGGGCCATGCCAGGGACTTTGCCTCCATCATTTCATTGAATCCCGTAAACAACCCTGCAAATAGCTGTCACTATCCACGTTTCACAGATGAAATGTCTTGAAGTAGTTAAGCAACTTGCTCAAGTCACAGGCAAGCAACGGTAACTCAAGATACAACCCGGGCCGACCCACTCGGTGATGGAAGGACATGTGTCCAGCAACACGATGACTCTCCACCAGTGCCCTCCTACCACCACACCAATGGCTGGGTCTCAGTTCTCATCTGACTTGAGCAACTAGTACCAGGTGACACAGGTGATCACTCCCTTCTTGAGACACCTTCTCTACCTGGCATCCAGGACATCGTGCCCTGGTTTTCCTTCTACCTGTCTCAGCCACTCGTTCTCAGCCCCCTCTGTGGGTCCCTCCTCCACTCCCCAGTCTCTGGACGTTTCTGTCTACACTCACTCTCATGGTGATCTCACCCAATCTCGTGGCTTTCACACCATCTACAGGTGCTGGCATCGCCTGAGTTTACATATCCAAGTCAGACCTCTCCCTGAACTCCAGACTTGACTAACGGACCACCATATCAGTATCACTTCTTAGGTGTCTCATCTCAAACTTGACATGCCCCAAACTGAACTCCTGTTCTACCCCTGATAAAACCTGCTCCCCACAAGGCCTCCCGAGTGTCAGTGTCTTATACCTGGGACCTCTGAGTCGTCTTTCACTCCTTTCTCTCTAACACAGACACCAACACCCCATCCATCAGCATATCCTATGGGTTCTACCTTCAAAAGTATCCAGAATCTGATCCCATCTCTCCTCCTCCAACCAACCCAGCTGAAGCCACCATCACCTCACCTGGATTATCACAGTGGCCTGTCTGCCTGCTCCCCTCCTCGGCCCTCTATAGTCTAGTCTCAGCAAAGCAGGCAAAAAATCTCCACAACAAATATGAATCCAAAAAGCCCTACTCCTGGGAATTCCCTGGTGGTCCACTGGTTAAGACTCCGCGCTTTCACTGCCGAGGGCGCAGGTTCAATCCCTGGTCAGGGAACTAAGATCCCGCAAGCTGCGTGGCGTGGCCAAATTTAAAAAAAAGGGAAGTTCAAGAAGCCCCAGCAAGTTACCCACGATGAACAGCAAGTCTGAACCTGGACCGTCCAACTGGAGGCTTGCGCTCTGCCTCACGCTTAGTGAAGCAGCTGCCCTGTTGAGTTCCTTGGTCGTGTTGCCCTGTTCTACTACGCCTCCTCCTCCAACTCATAGTCTCTCCTCTGCCAGAGGCTGTAATTCATGTTCGTCACCACAGTGATTACATTCCCTCATAGGATAGCTCTGCAACCGACTAGTCACCTCTCCGTCTCCCTGCCCTCACCACTAACTAGAGTGTTGGATCACAGAGATGGAGTTTCTGATGGATCGACTAAGGTTTAACCCCAGAAAGGTCTATCTGCACTACCGCTAAAAATAACAGCTAACATCTACTGGGTAGTGGCCATGCATGCCTGGCCCTATGCGAAGCGCGAGTGCCTCACATGATCATCACGACAATCCCAGGAGAAGGGCATATCATGCCCATTTCACAGACAGTAAATTAAGGCTCAAAGGGATTAAATGACTCACTCAAGGACCCACAGCCACCAAATCCCAGAGCCAGAATCACACCCCGTGCTGCTGTGCGCTACGCCAGACGGCTGGCCGTACCTTGTAGAGCACGCTTCGGTCCCCCATCACTCGGCCCTGCGAGTGAACGTGCTCACTGCTGCGCTTCCCCTTCACCTGGACGATGCGCTGCACCTCCGGGGGAATGGTTAGCTCCCAGCTCAGCTCAGTGGTGAGATCCTGGGGTGGGGCAAAAAAGCCAGCACTGGTCATCAGGAAGGTACCCTTAGACCCGCGAGAGCTGTGGCTAGACACGTCCTGCAGTTCAGCTGGGGCCTCTGTGCGGGAGGGAACAGGGATCAGGGCTCCCAGAGAAGCAGCAATACGGATCTAGTTTGGGAAGAAGTTTGGAACTCTCAGTTCAAGTAAGAAAACTAGTAAAGCCCAGTGTGCTTTGGCTGCAAAGAGCAGCCTCCTGGGCAGTGGAGGCACCAGGTGCTTGTCTGGGCTGCCCGAGGGGACCTGGGAGACGGTCCTCTCCAGTGGACATTCATGTCTGACCTCATGCTGTCCCCAGTCTAGGCTCCAGACAGCCCTGCGAGGTGCCTTTGGAAAGCCCCAGGGCCCAGTGGCCAGCCAGGTCATCATATCCATCTGCACCAAGCTGCAGAACAAGGAGCATGTGACTGAGGCCCGACATGGAGCCAAGTTCAAGTTCCCTGGCTGCCAGAAGATCCACATCTCCAAGAAGCGTGTCTTTACTAAGTGTAATAGAGATGAATTCGAAGACTTGGTGGCTGAAAAGCAGCTCCTCCCGGATGACTGTGCAGTCAAATACACCCCTAATCTGTAGCGCCCTGTACGCATGGCGGGCCCCGCACTCACGGGAGCCTTGGAGCTGCCCCTCCTCACTCACGTCACCAATAAACCCTACTTCTTGTCAAAAAACAGAAAGATACTAAAGCCAGTGAGAAAGAAGAGGAATATTTAATAGTATCCCATTGTTTATCTGAGTAAGAATAATGCAAAGAAAATTTACCACTTATTACTAAAATCTAAGTTCCCTGTACACTGAGCCAGCAGTGAATTACTAAGCTGGCGGGGATCTCAAAATATTACAGGAAACGTTCTTTACAGTCAAAAGAAACCAATAAAACTGTGTGGTTAAATGCATTATCATACATCCACACTGTGGAATTACACAGAGCCCTGGGGGGTGAGGGGGGGAGTAGTGACTGGAAAGGGGCACAAGGGCTTCCCAGGGCGCTGGTGCTAAACTGCTTCCTGATGTGACTGCCGTGTACACAAGTGTGTTCCTTCTGTGAAGGGCCACTGAGTAGTAACCTCGGGATTTTGTGCTTTTCTCAGTATTATATTTTAATAAGATATGGATTTAACAATATAATGAGGCAGAAGACACATAAAGTGAAAAGAGCAGATTTCCTATTAGTTAAATATAGGTCAATTCCATTTCAGGTAAGAAAGAATATAAAGCGCATGTCTGTGTGGTCTGGAAGCTGTTTATCCAGCACTACAGACACAGAGGCAAGAGACAGGACAGGGGAAGGCGTGCAGACCACTGAAAGGCATTCCATCCAGGGAGGCAGCTGGCAATGGCTCTGAAAGGGCCCATTCACATCTTGCTCCTGTACCTCTGTATCAGTTTAATCTTATACTATGAGAATGTATTCATGTGTAAAATTTTTGAAATTTAAATGTTTTTGAAATAATACAAATTTTTATTGAGAACATATAAGGCTCCATTACCAAGGACACCTGTGAAAACATAAGAATTCACTAAAACCTTCCCAGAGAACAAGGTCACCGGTGAGTCCACTGGAGGTCAGAGACTGGAAGACCACCCCTCACATGGCTGATTTCCCATGTGAGCTCCACCTCCTTTGCCGTCCCCCCACCATCTTTACGATGACACCCACACTCCAGGTCATGTCTTTCTATCCACAAAGAACTGTCTCTTTCAAGGTCCCCTTTTCATCAACTCAGAAGGATGGTATTTTTTCACCCACGGGGTAAAGAGCACGTTTTCTGGACAGACTATGCTATTTACGCTAAAGATTAGCCGTTACAGAATGTCAGGGAAGAACGCTGCATTTTTTAAGCAGCAGCAGGTAAAACTTGGACGGCATTTACTGTGCAGCAGGCACTGCTTTACGTTACTTACACGTATTAACTCTCCAACTCCTCACAACAACCCTCTGATATAGTACTATTACCATTTTGTTTTACAGACGAGAAAACAGGATCAGAGAGAAGGCATCTACCCAAGGACACAAAATGAGTAAGTGATAAATAAAACTAGGTTTCCTGCACAAGCAGCCAGGTCCAAGCTCTTAACCTCTGTGCTGTGGTGTCCCTCCAAAGGCCTTACAGACAGGATGGGCGGGCCCTCTGGGGAGTACGCCACAAATTACCCCTCTACACAGCCCTGCTATCGGAGCCAAGGCCAGCCCTTGTGAAGCTCAGAGCTGGACTTCAGAGCCAGTGTGAAACACTGTTTGCAAGCACTGGACTCAAGTGTGTCAGGATCGGAGTAAGTCGATCCCATTTCTAGAAATAAAATTCAAAGCGCACGTTCAATCAAGAGTGGATCAATAGGGACTTCCCTGGTGGCACAGTGGTTAAGAATCCGCCTGCCAATGCAGGGGACACGGGTTCAAGCCCTGGTCCGGGAAGATCCCACATGCCATGGAGCAACTAAGCCCGTGCGCCACAACTACTGAGCCTGCGCTCTAGAGCCCACGTGCCACAACTACTGAGCCCACGTGCCACAACTACTGAAGCCCACGCCACCTAGAGCCTATGCTCCGCAACGAGAGAAGCCACCGCAGTGAGAAGTCCGCGCACCGCAACAAAGAGTAGCCGCTGCTCGCCTCAACTTGGGAAAGCCCGCACACAGCAACGAAGACCGAACACAGCCAAAAATTAAAATAAAGAAAAATGAAAGAAAAAGAAAAAGAGTGGATCAATAACACCATCTTCATACAGAAAGTACTATTGTTCAATCACCATTCCTACCTCCCGCCTTTCTAGGAATGGAGAAAACGCCCCTTCTCCCTGCTATAGAAGAGGAATGAGGAATGAAAGCTCCACAGGGGCAGAGACTGTTGTGCACTGCTCCTTCCATGGCAGCTAGAACCGCGCCTGCCATGGAATAGATGAAAATGACTGCCTCTGACATCAGGATTATGCTCTCTAAGTTTACAACACAATGAATAGCATAATTCACTCCTTAGCCAAATAACGAGGAAACACCTACACCCCTCCCGCAAAGGGGCGTGCCAGGATGCCCCCTCCTACCTTTCGAAGTCGATAGCCACACAGCCGTCCCTGTTCCGCGTCCACCAAATAGAAGAAGATGGAAGGGGCGAGCTCATGGAGCTGTCGCAGGACATTCCGAGTGGCCGGGAAAGCTGTGACCTTGAAAACCCCAGAAAAGGGTTAAGGGAAAAGGAATCTCTAAGCACAGTTTCTCCAGACTCATTACTGTTTCCTGTCAAAGAGGGCCTTAAGAAAAAAAACAGCAAATCTTTAAAGAATTAAAGTCTATTAAACTCAATCAGGGCTTAAGTTGAGTTAAGAGTCCGAGCTTTCACAAGGGCAGAAAGAGCAATCGAGTCGCTTAGAGACACACTTCAAGCCCAGATGAGTGCTGACGGCAGACGGCTCCCATCGGGGGCCCTCGAGCCGCTGTCTGAGCACCCTGCTCCCACACTGATTGGCTGGGCAGTTCTGCAGCCAGTCTGCAGACGGCATACCTTGTACTCATCATCTATCAACAGCAGCACCTTGGCATAGTCTTGATCCATGATGGGGAGGAGCAAAGATTGCAAGATGGGGCGCTTCAGCACTGGGGGGGCCACCTGACTCCACTTCCCAAAAATGGGATTGAAGACATAGAGCGAACTCATTCCCGTCTCCTGAAATAGGCAAGCGAACGGTCAGCCTCCAGCAACATGAAAAGAATGCAAATCCTAGGGGTAAACCTGGAACGCTGGGACTTGAGCTCAGCTATGGCAGATTCCCTAGTCTTTGCCCTCCTTGTGGAAAATAAAGTCTTGGCTAAAGGTGAAAGTGTCTGAAGGCTGATGTGTCAAAAGGGTAAAAGTTTAACAGCCTCTGGGACTTCCCTGGTGGCGCAGTGGTTAAGAATCAGCCTGAAAAAAAAAAAAAAAAAAAAAGAATCAGCCTGCCGATGCAGGGGACACGAGTTCGAGCCCTGGTCTGGGAAGATTCCACACGCCACGGAGCAACAAAGCCCGTGTGCCACACTACTGAGCCTGTGCTCTAGAGCCCGTGTGTCATAACTACTGAAGCCTGTGTGCCTAGAGCCCGTGCCCTATGACAAGAGAAGCCACTGCAGTGAGAAGCCCGCGCACCACAACGAAGAGTAGCCCCCGCTTGCCGCAACTGGAGAAAGCCCGTGTGCAGCAACGAAGACCCAATACAGCCAAAAAAATTAATTTAAAAAAAAAAAAAGTTTAACTGCCTCTAGCCCCAAAGCTAAGCAAGAACGAGTCATACTGAGGAATAAACAAAAAAGTCAAGGACCAACTCAGTAGCCCCATGGCAGCCATTCCAGAGACTATCTACCAAGTCCCCTCTCTTTTTTTTCTTTTTTAACTTTTATTGGAGTATAGTTGCTTTACAATGTTGTGTTAGTTTCTACTGTACGGCAAAGTGAGTCGGCTATACGTATACATATATCCCCTTTTTTGGATTCCTCCCCATTTAGGTCACCACAGAGCACTGAGCAGAGTTCCCCGTGCTGTACAGTAGGTTCTCATTAGTTATCTATTTTATACATAGTATCAACAGTGTATATATGTCAGTCCCAATCTCCCAATTCATCCCACCCTCCCCCCAAGTCCCCTTTCTGATGATGGCAGAATGAATCTACAAAAAGCCACCTGCTCCCGGGAGTCAGAGACATAAACAGTTTTGTGTCCTGCCCTCCAACACCTGGAGAAGAGCAAACAGCCATTCAGGTACCAACAGCCGCCCGTGCCTGGGAAGAAGTGGAGCTGGCTTACTAGGGACCTAGTGATGTCACACCTACCCTACAGTCACTTCCACATGGGCCCCGGACGGTCCTCCACTCAGGCAAAAAACTGGAAGAAACAGAGCTCTAAGCCCTGACTCCCTGCCTTTAACTCTCAGAGAATTCCAAAAGCCTAGGAGGAACTTAAGTTACAAAACACCAAAAACCACACCCACGTTGGCTCAGATGAGAGGTAGCGGCCTCACCTTGTCCTTCACCAGGAGGGTGCACTGCGGGGGGTGGGGGAAATGGGCAGTAGTCCTCTGGACCATCAGTTTAAAGGAGGAGTCTGGCTTGACGCTGGGGAGATACTGTTTCCACAGAATGGTGCCAGAGCTGCTCTCAATGCCAAAAAGCTGCAAAATAAATACCTGGCTCACTACCGGAAAGGCAAACCCCAAAACTAGTTCTATCCTTAAAAACTAGAACCGGCGCGATCCCCTTCCAAAGGCTTTTTGTTCCCCATCCCAGAACCTCAGGAGGTTTGGATTAAGCCCCTCTCACCTTGCCTGAGGCCGTCACCATCACCATCATCTTCTGCAGGTTGAATTCATCCCTGGCCAGGGTGTCAATGTTGATCTCATTCTTAATCTGACTCCGGGGCTTCCGAGCATCGTAAAACATTTTCCAGAGGTGGGAGGTCCATGCCTGTAGCAGGATGAGCTGGGACGAGAGGCGTTTCAGGAACATGCCCAATAAGCCGTCTGGTGTCAAGGAAAAGGTAACGCAGCTGAGGCTCACTCCCCATCAGACTAGGTGTTTCCAGCGAGGGGGCACCTCCTCTTCCTAAGGAGGGCTCTCTCCCTCTCTTGTGGAGCACTCGAGTCATCCACACCCCAGGCCACAAGCCCAAGGGGCAGTCCTGTGGCTGACGCCAACAGTCTCACACTTAGACACAGCCGTGCAGGAACTCCAAAAACCTACTCACCTGGCTCTCAGCACTTCAACTGCCTGAAATCTTGGAATAGGAGACTAAGACGGCAGGGATCAGCCATGCAGGATGCAGCCATGCTGTGAATGACTCCACCACAACCCCACATCCAGAACGGCCAGAGGGAGGCTTCCGGGCGCCATGACAAAGCCGGAAGAGGGCGGGGTGCGGGGGTACCAGGGTGCAGGGGTGTGTTGTGTCACGGACAGGCACTTCCATTTCTCGCTGCTTTAGGCCTACGCTGTCAACGGTTTAGTCTGCACCCATCTAACCTATTTTCAACCCATTCCCAGGGCTCTCTTTCACTCCACCCCTTCCTCCATCCATGAGGCTACCACCCTCAAGTCTCCTCCAGAGACTAGACTGGTCCCCAGAGCAAGGTAGCATGGTAAAAAGCATGGCCCCTGGAGTCTGGCAGACCTGGATTAAAATCCCAGCTCCACTTCTTACCACCTGGATGACCTGGAGAAATGTACTTAACCTTTTAGCCTCTGGCTCCTCATCGGTAAAATGGCAAGTAATCCACAGGGCTGTTGCCAAGATTAGACAACATGATGTACACACAGGATTTCCCAAGGGGTGGGGTACAGGGTAAGTGCTCACTGAAAAGGAGCGGTGTCTTTGCTTATCCGCTTTTCCATTAACCTCAGCTCAAGAAGGGAAGTGAGAGGCAAACAGGACGAGTCACAGACATAGCAGTCCACACACACATGGTATATACCTCATTCATGCAAGTCAGGGAAAATAAATAATACCAAAAGCTAGCCATGTGGGCAGGCAATGAGCAAAAAGGCAGCAGGAAGCAGGTTTTACCTTGAATGGCTGGATCCAGGCAGCGGAAATAAATAGTAAAGTCAAATTAATCCTCGGTTTAAGAAAATCTGCAGTGCCTAGCAGGGTGCCTGGCCCAGAGCAGGCCCTCAGTAAACATCACCTGGCTAGCTAGACGAACGGATGGAGGGAGGAGGGGACGGGACTCAATCAGAGGAGAGTGAACCGAGTTCATCCTGGGTGCTGGGACCATGGCTGGTCTCAGAGGGCACTGGCCTATCACCACAGTAACTGACTAGCCCGGTCATGCTCTCTGGAAAGGTGTAACTGTTGCTTTGGGGACAATGGGTATATAGTGCCAGCCATGGTGCCTGGCAGATCTTAGGTACCCACACAAGGGTAGCTATTACTACACTAAGCTAAGATTCTTTTTCATCAGGATCTTTCCCTAGAGGGAGTCACAGGTCACTCCTTTCCGATAGAAGAATGGTTACATAAACCATAGGGCCACAAACACACCAGAAACTGGTCACAGAGCTAGTTCAGAACAGACTGGCAGAACAGGTGCATCCAGGAAGCCAGGGACACGTGAGACAGCCTCCCCTGTGGTACAACTACCAAGCCCAGTCCCAGAGCACCCGCACCGGCAGCTCTGCCTCCCAGCCCCCTCAGTTCATACCTGCCTTCTTGCCAAATTCCCCTTCCAGCTCGGCCTGCGCCCCCGTCAGGGGGAGGTCCACCATCTGCAGGCACACCACCTCTGCCAGGGACTCCTCGCGGCTCCACAACACCACCCTCCCTGCTGCAGAAACCAAGGTTACAAAAGTCAGGCCCACCTCCCTCGTCCCCCAAAGGGACTCTTCTCGGTGACTCAGGGACCACCACACCTCTTGTGCCAAAAAGAGAAATGGCAGGAGGTCAAGTGAGGGAAGTTCTGTCTCCCAAGAATGCTAAGGAATTTTTCAAAGGCAGGTAACATATGGCTCTGGAAAAAAATATTCAGGATACACTCCACTTGAATCTTTCTCAGAAGCCTGTCCACAGCCCCAAATAAAGAGTCTGAATGGAACTCATGGGCAAGCCTAAAAAAAAATGGGTTGATGAGGTCCACTCACCCAGCTGCTGCAGGAAAAGTAGCAGGTGATCCTCCGTCTGTACCAAGGCCCGGTAGCCCACGGAGTCGTCCTTCTTCAGGAAGACCTGGATGTACATCTATAAACCAAACAGTCAAGTCCACCGTAGTCAGCAAGAATCCAGATGCCTCTCAGAGCACCAGACCCCAAGATTCAAAGCATGAGGAGTTGTCCGAAGTCTAGGTCACGGCATTGCTGGATGTCCAAACAATACAGCTTTAACCTGGACTCCAATTAGATATCACATATTCTTAGGGGCTGACACAGCAACCGTGCTAGGCGCTAGCTGAGCCCCCTCCATGAAGGAACCTGAGCGCTTCTCGGCCACCACATCATTCATCTTGCACCGATAACACCCCACAAAGCGAGCAGGAGGCCCGGATTAGACTTTCCGTTTTAGAGGCAAAGAAGCCACAGCCCAGAGAGGCTGAGGAACACCACTGAACGTGCACAGAGGCAATGTCGGGCAGCGACTCGGGATGGGGTCCTGAATCTCACGAGGCCGTTTCCTCGCTTATAAAATGAGCGCGGTAAGAACCACATGGCTGCTGAGAGGGTTCAATCAAGCAGCGCGTAGCGCGGAGCCCGGCGCACCGACGACTTGGCTTACATGGTACCTGCTTTTACTGTTATTCACAGTCAGTGGCTCAGGTAGAGCTAGAGCCCACGTCCAGAGAATCCTACTCTGGGACCCATGGCTGTGAAGTGACCCCAACGAAAGAAAGCCCCAGGCTGAGAAGCCCACAAGCCCCGACTCACGCGCTCGGGCCGAGTGCCGTTCTGTTCCAGGCTAAAGGTGATCGTGGTGTCGAGCAGCCGCCGACCTGTCTCCATTAAGTAGAGGTTAATGGTGTAGGTCTGGTTGAAGCAAGCCAGCGAGTCCTAGGGTACAGACAGCAAGGGTCAACTACGGGGATCCCCCCAAAGGAAGTCCAAGAATCTGGGCGGGGGGAGCAAATACCCTGGAGAAGGACCCAGGCCAGAAGAGGAAACATATGCAAAGGGACATAAAATAGAAAAGCTAAGTCCTAAGGCAGAAATAAGGTGTCTGAGTAAATTTTAAAAATTGTAACCGCTATACATACTTGCTCCAGAAGGAAGCCAGTACAGTGTAGCGGAGACTTCCCAAAGAGTTAGTAAGACTGTAGGCAGGGAAATCACAACCCCCTTGGGAAACACTTAGGAGATGGAAACCACAGCAGAAACTGGAGACTCTGGCCAGGGTCCCACACTCTGCTTCAGTGCAACTGCTCAGACTACCACTCAACTCCACCAGCCAGACCCCACAAGACATGGAGAGACGGAGGCCCAGAGGAGAAAGTAGTTAAGAACAGATTCTAGGGGTTCTACTCTCTAATCTCCCAACTAAAAAAGATCAAGAGAAACATGGTTTAATTTGCTGAACTCAGCAAAGCCCACTGGAGGCTGAGAACTCAGGAGACCTGCTCACAGCCCTGGCTGCTCCCCCAGCTTCACTGGGGGCCTCCTGCGTCTCTGGTCTGGCACGCTGCCCAACGCCACACCCTACCTGTGGACCAGACTTCTCCGAAAAGCTCCCCGTTGACCCATCTTCAGAACTGCTAGGCTTCTGCTAGGGAAAAGAGAAGGAAAAAGGAGAAAATTCAGCCAAAGGGTCACTTCCTCGTCACCAAAATGAAGCTTTCACTTCTATGTCTTCTCAGCCCTTGGAAAAAGGCAAATCCCATTTCCCATTTCTGCTCACAAAGCCTACACAACCCTGAACAGTCCCAGATGAACATGAGGTCGTCCCATTCCTGGGGACAAAGAAGGTGTACAGAAAGCCCTACAGATGAGGTGAGATATTATTGTTCAACAGCCTCCTGCCCCCGGGTTCAAACTGACTAGGTGAATATGCCCAGACTTTTGGTTCTCAGGGCTCCTAGCAAAGATAAGGAAGGAAAACCCCACGTGCTGTTATCCCCAATACTCACCGCCTCATTCCGACAGGTCATGACTGCAGCCACCGTCTTCTCCCCGGTGGTGGCAAAGCTCACTAGGGCAGTCTGGGGATAAAGCAAGGTGTCAACTCCTAAATAGGGCCTGTCCTAGCCAGCAGCCTTCTCTAAGTCACCTCCACAGGAAGGACCCTTGGCCTTGGAGTTGAAAATGCTCCCAACTTTGGAGCATAATGGCCTGGGCATTTGAGAGCAGGGGGAGGCCCCGTTGAAGCCACAGCTGAACACAGCCCTCTCGCCAACCTCCAACACAGGCACTGGTGAATCCTGCATCCCACGCTGCTCTTAGTATCTATAGGGAAGCTCTGATTAACGTGCCCACTCTCCTGTGGACTTAGGAAGGTGCCAGTTCTACTCTAATAATCTTCTGTAATTCTCAGGAAAAAAAAAAGAAAAAATTCCACTTCTGCTCTAAGGCTAACCCCTCTCAAACCACTCATGGAAAGATGTCTTCCTGCTTGAGCAAATATCTCCAGATTCAAAGGCAGGGATTTCTAGCACCCATATCTCAGCTAGATCCCCCTGAATCCTAGCGAACCACGCTGCCTCCCGTTACCTGTGGGAAGTTCTTGAGCAGACTCAGGACGCCGTGGTGGTAGTGCAGCAGCGCATAGTGGCTTGGAGACAGCTGCAGGAAGAACTGGGGCCGAGTAGGATCCACTGGGTTGGGCTGTGTAGGGAGGACCCGGGGTTGGAATTCACTTGCAAATTCTAGGTCAAGAGACTGGGAGACAAGAAGAAAAAGGATAAGGGCCAGAGCAGACAAGTCACTGATTATCCCAGGCTGGTAGCCTCTGCCCCACTTTGCCAGCGAGGGTAACAGGGCCACGGCATGTGGCTCCGGAAGCTCCCATTCAGGTTCTCCAAAGAGGAGAGTGGCCCATTTCCTCTCATACCAGTTCAGCCAGAGGCCTGAGCTCCCAAGGGCTGCCAAGCCTCAGGAAGTGAGCAGTGACACTGGGAGAAAGGCTCTTCTAAGCAGCAAAAGCAATGCCTCGCACCAGGGGACGCATCCTCTCACCTGCAGCGGGATCTGCCTCAACTCCCACTCCGTCTCCAGGGCCAAGGTCTGGAGGGACCGTGAGCTCGGGTCAGGGCATACCAAGACAGCCTCATCCACCACACCGCAGGCTCTGGTGAGACTCTGCAGCCAGGGAGTCGACACCCTGACCTGCAGGAGAGACATCAGAACAGGAGGCTCATGGGGATTTTCACATTTCCCTCTCAGCTCATAAGCTACGTCAGCACTGGATCCCACTGGGGGGCCTAAGCTCAGAGGTTCTTCCTGGTGGGTTCCGAAGGAGTCCCCCCCATCCCACCCAGCCTCCCAAGAGCTCCGAAGCTGGACACAATCAGGATTGGCTTTCTGGTCATTTGAAAAATATACCAGATCCTTTTTAATACTTGACATTTCAGATAAGCATTTCTCTGCTATAGTTGCCATACATGGCTTCCTATATTACCCTACAGTATTATCTTATAAGATACTTGCAGGCAATGAATAGATATACACGATTTTTTTAGCCACCCAGGATAGCACCATGTGCAAATGTGAGGGCTTTAAATAAATGCTTGATGAGCAGAATGCAGCCTCCAAGTGGCCAGAGTCAGGGACCATGAATGGCTTTTGCATCCGCCCAGCCGAGTTCCCTGGTCCCCAGGGCAAAGAAGGACTCTATTCCCCTCCACAATTCACGAGGCTCCTCGAGCCAGACCAGACCTGCTGAACAATCTCTCCATCTTCCACGTTAAACTTGACAATGTTCACATGGCTGAAGGGAACAACTCCGAGGGCCCACACGACCCCAGAGCCGTAGGAATACACCATCTGGTAATGGATGCTGTCACTGGGAGAGGGAAGGAAAAGCAGGGAGAAACAGCTTTAGCCACAGGACAGGGGTATCCTCAGGGGTCTTCCGAAACCAGGCCACCAGGATGTCACAAACAGTCCCAAATAGGTTTTGTTTGGCTCACAGCTTTTATTTTTTAATTTGAATTCATTGTCAACATTTAGACCTGAGATTTAACATGTAAGAACAAGATTTCTAGTTTTTTCTTAAAAGGTGAAACATAGTAGCACTAGGCCTACTTACGTTCCTACAGGGCACCAATCAGCTGAGTAAGGCTGCCCCCTCGAGGTAGGCCAGGCACACTGCAGCTCCCCATAATCCCCACAGGGCCTGCTTTGCTCATGATTGCTATACACCTGGCCCCACAGTAAATTTTTTTTTTTTTTTTGGCTGCATTGGGTCTTCATTGCTGCACTAGGCTTTCTCTAGCTGCGGTGAGCGGGGGTTACTCTTTGTTGTGGTGCACAGGCTTCTCATTGTGGTGGGCTTCTCTTGTACAGCATGGGCTCTAGGCGCGTGCGCTTCAGTAGTTGTGGCTCATGGGCTCTAGAGCGCAGGCTCAGCAGTTGTGGCGCACGGGCTTAGCTGCTCTGCGGCATGTGGGATCTTCCCGGAGCAGGGAACGAACCCGTGTCCCCTGCATTGGCAGGCACATTCTTAACCAATGTGCCACCAGGGAAGCCCCCCCATAGGAATTTGAGTTTTGGGTCCCTGCCAAAGTGAGTGAGCGAAGGAGCCACTCCCCTTGCTTGACTGGCTCTCATGCCCAGATGGAGAGTTTTCTCCTCACTGCAAAGGAAACTCCAGAGGCAGCCACAGCCTTGGAATTCAGGCCTAGAGCTAGTGAGCCCAACACGCTACACAGGATGCCAACTTAAGGTAAGCCTGAGTCAAAGCAAACGCTTCAAGCCCCAAGGAGAAAGGCGGGCTTTTAGAGAGCAGGAGGTAGCCGTCACCTGGGGAGAAGGCAGCCTTACCTTTCCGGGAGATGTTCCACCCACTTTAGGTGCCCACTGGAGAGGTGATGGAGGGCGAGAGTGGTCTTCTTCAGGACGGCAATGTACCTCACTGACTCCTGCAGGCCTACCAGCCCAAGTGCCTGGAAACTGAGCACAGGGCCGGGGTGAGCGCTGCCCAGAACCTCCTGGGCCTCAGGCTGGACAATCCGGAACACAACCACCATAGCTCGGTAGGTAATGAAACAGGTTTTGGGGTCAAATGCATCTGGATCCTAATCTTGGCTCTGCTCTCCACTAGCTGACTTGAGAGACTGTACTTTCAGCCACTTGGCTGTACTGTTTCCCTGAAACCCCTGTGAATCTCCTAAGGGTCGTTCCCTCCTTCCCCTGGGACCTCACAGCAACCAGGCCTACCCTCTCCCGCGGCAGCCATCAGACAGTTCTGTCATTAGTGGGCTGCACGCCCGCCTCACCCAACTGGTGATGAGTTCCTTGATGATGGAAACTATCTCACATTCACAAGTGGGTTCCCACTGCCTGGGGGCTCCCCAAGTACTTACCAAATGAATTACTACCAAAAGATGTATAAGCTAATGCAAGTAAACCCTATAATTTAAACAACTTTAGCAAAGATGTAACAATAGCTCCAACTGTTCTTCAACATAAAATTAAAGCACTAGATGTGTTATATCACATCCTTATATCTAGAACATTGCAAAGCTCTTGTGTCATGGTAAGATTAGGAAAAGCAGTCAACACGAGAATGAACACAGCACCCAGCACAGAGCTCTGCATCTGACAGGTGCTCAATAAATGCTGGCTGAGTAAGCACATGTGTCCCATAACCTCAAGAACATCAAAAACTGGGTGTTTGATGCTCTCTGGCTCTTCAGTGGTTTCTTCCCCTGGGAAAAAAGCCAGAAGGCCCAGAGTTGCCATCTGTGCAGATCTGTGTCCCAGCAAAGCCTTTAACCAAACCAAGATGAAATTCAGCTTCTTCCCCTCTACCTGCCACTGTCTAAGGTAATCTCCCAGTTCAGGCCCCCGATGTTAGTCTCCCAGGAGCGCATGATTCGGCCTCCATTGGACACAGTGATTGCATCTGGAAGAGAAAAAACCACGTGAGATCATCTCCCAAATTGATGCTCTGTCTGTAGCCTCCTAGGGTCTGTGAGCAGTGGCCTCACCTCTAACGTATAAGTGCAAACAGAAACGGCCTGTCCTTTCCTGTTGGGAACACCCCTACTCCATTTGCTACCAGACCCTGAACAAAGGAAGGAACCAAGCAAAGAGGAGAGGGAGCCGACGCCATCATAGGGACAAAGCAGGACTCTACCTACCCTGCCCACAGAGCAGCATGGCATCCACTGCCCCTTCCGCTGTGCCCTTGTCAACATGGCGCCACACTGAGAGACAGGAGAGTCGATGTTACTATGAACCACAGCAAGGCATCCAAGAAGCGAGGCAAGAGAGGACCGAAGAGGCCTTCGTTTGCACAGAAGTGCCCAATTTTACTTCAAGGGAGGGAAGGATTACAGCTAACCGGCAATGACCCACTCCCACTCACTGGTTAATGAGGGGAGCGACTATTGTCCCAATCTGACGTCTCCGCACTTCCCATCCCCACCAGCACCCCATCAAACATATAAACGGATAATGACAAAATTCACAAAATCCATACGACTCACAAGAAAAGTAGTGACTGTAAATTACATTTCCATGATTTTAATGCCAACAAACATCCATAAAAGCAATATAAATAACTGGGGGGGAGGGGCACATCCAAAACTTTAGTGTGACATAGAATAATGTGTTTTTTGCAGCAATATCTTATTTAAGAACAGTCAGGACTTGGGCTGAGGAAATAAACTCAAAGGCCAGTTATAGGAATACATTAAATATTCAAAACTGACAAGACCAAAAAAACAAAAAGAACAAAATAAAATGATCAGGATCCAGTAAGAGATGCAACCTTTGGCCAACTTGTCCCCAAGTGGGGAATCAGCCACGTGGCCTTCACAAGCCACAGGGCATCCTGGATCCACTACAGGCAGCCATGCCATCCCCAGCTACCCCTCTACACAGTTCACTCACAGATCTCCCCAGTTCGAGAATTCAATGCTGCAATCACATTCTTCTCTGTGGCCACAACCAACTTCTTGGATCCAGGGGAAAATTCCAAGGAGGCAAACTTGAGTTTCCCGACATACTGCTGTCTCCTAAAGGAAAGAGTACAGGGAAATGGAAGGGGCCAAAACCATCACTGCACAAAACGCTCTGGAAAAAGACAACTGCACAAATACATGAGGGTATCACCATCATAACTATCTCAGGTTGCATGAGAAGTGTTTGTTAACGAAGAGATCTGACCAAAAGCAAGATTTCTAGGCAATGGGAAGAAGACGAGAGAATGCACCCTAATCGATGAGAAATACAACAGTCTTCCTTCTAAATGCAAGCACTTGTTTATCTCAAGATAAGGAACACCCAAAAGAGCACCTGGCCTAAATCCCCCTAGAACAAAACTGCAATCCTCTCTGTACCCATTAATAGTGAGACTAGACACTCACATTACACATGAGAGAAGACCATACAATCCAACTTTTCCTTCTATTTTCATTGACCTTTGGAGAAAAATTATGCAAATATTCTTACAAAACTTGATAGATCAGGGTCAAGCCTTTGTTCTCTGCAGCCTGTTCTAGCCCTCGCTATGTTCAGGATCCATCTGACTCATTACTCATACTTTCCTTGGAACATACCCCATCACTTTCAACACTCTTATCTAAGCATAAAGTGAAAGTACTTAGCTTCCTGAGGTATACTACCAAGTACAGAGGAGGTGTGTTGCATATTGCTGTTCATGAATTACAACCTCTAGCAAATTAAACACCTGACATTTACACTGAATTTCCCTTGTTATGTTGTTTGGTCTAATTTTTTTAAAAAAAGAAGAAACTACACTAGTATAGAGAAACAGGTTTACATGACAATTGACAGTTTCTATCTGTATTTCCACATACTTTAATCTCACTGTAGTCACTAAACACTTTACGAAGTACATAGGACAAATATTATCACTCTCATTTTACAGGTGAGTAAAAGTCCGTTGAGGTCAACAAATTACTATCAGAACTAGAATGCAAAATTAAGAACTTCTTAGTCTAAACCCCATGCTTTTTTTTAAAATGCTGCTATCTTTTATCTGGACTACAAAAGTAATGCCTGCTTCTTGTAGAAAACATAAAGGTATAAAAAAGAAAACAAAAAATGCCTAAAATACCACCATCCATGAACTTTTTTTCTTCAACCATAAACTTTTCAACATTTTGGTGTATTTCCTTCTGTTTACTTTTCAATTTATAAATTGCATATACCTAGGATTCTGCTAAATTGGAATCACATGCTGTACATATGTAATATATACAGTTAATCCTTGTATAACACAGGTTTGAACTACGCAAGTCCACTTATACACTGGTTGTTTTCTACAGTAAATACTACAGAACTACACGGTCTGCAGTTGGTTGAATCTGCGGATGTGGAACTGCAGATACAGAGGGCTTACCATAGGTTATGCTCAATTTTTGACCGCAGGGAAGGTCAGCACCCTCAGCCCCTGCGTTGTTCAAGAGTCAGCTGTACATATTATATTGTGAGCATCTGCCCACATCATTAAAAATGTGACTCATGTTGCATTTGTCACACTGTCTTATATCACATAACTTATATATCTGCCCCCCTACACTGAGCTCCTTTCCATCTCTGTGTCCACAGCACCTAGAATGATTGTTGACCCACAACAGGCACTCAACAAACATGCGAATTAATTTGTCTGATACAGAAAATACTTCAGCGAGGAGCTGGGCTCGGAAGGATAAAGTGTTCCCTTAATAGTAATTATTGGTAACAAACTGGTTGTACTCAGGGAGCCAGGCACTGTGTTGAGTAATTTAAAAGAATTGTCTTATTCATCCTTACAACTACTGAAAGAGGTAATGGACTACTAGTAAACCCATTTTACAGATAAAGAAACCAAGGCACAGAGTGGTTAAGTCATTTTCCCAAGACCGCACAATGCTTAAGTGGCAAAGTGACATTCAAGCAAAAGTGAGCCAACTCCATGGCCTTAAGGAAGGGGTGGGTGAGTGAATGAATGAGTGAATGAATGAGTGAATGAGCGACTGAATGTGTGAATGAGTGATTGAATGAGAGACTGAATGAAGAGTAAGTGAATGAATGAAAGTGAGTGAATGAAAGAAGAGTGAGTGAGCCAGTGAGTGAGGGCACCTCAAGGCTGATGTGAGTCTTGGGTGGTCCTGTTCTGAGCCCATGTAAGGGTTGGGCTAGAGGGGTGGGGAAAGACGGCGTTCACTGAGGGCTGTTGACGTCTGACACCCAGTAGATAAGAAACCTGACAGTCACAGAAATGGGGCCTGATGGAGGAGAAGAGTGACCTCTGACCAGAACCTCAGGCATGCCCGGATTGGCAGAGCCCGCTTTACGGGCTTGCGACCTGTACAGCCGCACAGGGACTGGCTCAGAAGGGCCTCCTACTCTCGGTTTAATGCTCTGCTGTCGCCACCTTAAAACTCTTAACTTTTGAACAAGGGGTCTCACATTTCATTTTCCCCTGGGCCCCGCACGTTATGCAGCCGGCCGTGCTGCATGGTAACCAACCCCCATCCTTTTAGACAGAAGACAAGTACTGGGAAAATATTTCCCGAATAGGTCCCCCACGTACGCACCAATCAAACTTGCCCACTTGGTCTTCGTAGACCGCGGCCGCAGGAATGAGCAGGGCAGCCCAGAGCCAAATTCCGGAAGCCACCGCCGCCACCGCCGCCGCCGCCGCCGCCGCCATGATGGGAGCCCGGGCTCGGTCCGCCGCCGGCCCGGCATGCACCGGGCCTCAGGCTCCGCCTCCGCGGAACCATAGAGTTGGGAACCGCACGCGGAGCTCTCGGTGGGGCGCCCAGGACTCTGGGATCCCCCGCCCGCGCAGGAAGTCGCTCTGGAGACTCGAGGGAGAGCGCAGGCGGCGGCGGGGTAGGGAGAGGCGGGCCTCAGCGCAGATTGGGTCAGGCACGCGCAAGGGCAGCCCCCGAGGGCCGTCCCAGAGGCCCCAGCGCCGCCGAGGTCCTAATAGGCGGCACAGTCTTCCGCCGCACGTGGCTGCAGCGCGATGCCCAAATCCAAGCGCGACAAGAAAGGTGGGCAAAGGGGGTCTTGGGACCCGGTGAGGAATGCGCGGGCTGGCTGTCACCTGCGGTAGGGGCTTCGCGGGGGAAGCACGGGGGTGGGGGCTGGAGCCGGGTCGGGTCAGGGAGCGGAGACTGCTTTGCCAGGCCTCCAGAGTTTGTCCAAGGCCGGCTGGTCAGGGAACAGCCTCTGAACACCCAGGCCGCGCCCGATCTCGCCTTGGCCCACCTTTTCCTACCTCAGCCCATCTGTCTTAGCTCTCCGCGCTCCCCCCACCCTACCGCCTTCCCCTCGACCCAGGTTTATCCCTAAGTATGTACTTGAAGTTGCTTCTGTCTGGCATGCTTGTGCCCCGGTCTTTGTACGGCTGGCTCTTTCTCAGTTGGCAGTTCGTAGGATACCTCCTAGGAGAGTATTCCTGACTGCCTCTACTATGGTGAGTCTCTCTCACTCCGGCTCTCTAGCACATTCACTCAACAAATTAGAGAGGGACCTGGCACTCTCTAGGCGTCGAAGGATACAGCAGTTACAACAAGGAAGGCCTAGAGCCCTCATCAAGCTTAATATTTTAGTTATGGGAAGTATATCCTCCCAAGGTACCGAAAATCGAATCAGTAAATTCAGATAGTGTTAAGTCCCGTGGAGTAAGAGAGAAAGAGAAGTTGATGTTCTTTTGTGCAGTGTGGCCAGAGAAGGTCTCTGTTGAGATGACAAATGAGCAGGAACTTGAAAGTAAATAAGCAACCCATAGAGTTACCTGGAAGGGTGGTGTTCCCAGGAGAGGGAACACGAAGGGCAAAGGCCCTGAAGCGGGAGCATGTTTGACATGTTCTGGGGCAAGAGGCCAGCGTGGCCAGGGCAGAGTGAGCAAAAAGGAGGGAGAGGGAATTGGGCAGAGTGTGCGGGGCTTGAAAGACCTTTGCAAGGAACTGGCTTTCACACGCAGGTGAAACGGGAGGAGAGAGCTCGAGCAGAGGAATGATGGGGTTCAACTTTACTTTTAAAAAGATCACCCTAATTGCTTTGTTGAGAATAGACAGGGAAGGTGGGGGCAGTGTGCAGGGGTGGAAGCAGCGAGACTAGCAGTAATCCAAGAGAGCATGGTGTTGGCTAGGTCCACAGTTGTAGCAGTGGAAATATTGGAAAATGGACAACTGTATTTTGTTTGCCCTCCTGTGCTGCACTTGCCTCTGAATGGCGTGATTACCTTTCTAGATGTGTGCTTCGTGAAGAGGGACTGACTGAGTGCCAGGCAGGATGAATAAGAAGCGGCCTCCTCCTAGGACCCAGGGCTTTGCATTTGATGCTCTGTTAAGCGTTTGTGGAATGATTGGGTTCTGTGGAGGGAGCCCTGGTCAGATCTGGCAAATGTCAAACCCTTCTGGTTAAGGGGCAAATTGGGCCCCAGCTGTTGTTGGAGAAGAGGTGTTTGTCCTTCCCCAAAGACGCGTTGCTGCATCCATGGGTCCAAACTGCAAGACAGGGTGTAGCAGAGGAGATACAGTCCCCAGCCCAGAGCAGCCACAGATGGTCTCTGTGTACCACAGCAGCACAGGGACGCGCCTCAGCCAGCAGCTAGCTCAGCCACTGGCAGGGCCCCCAGAGCCTCCACACTTCAGTAGGGAGTTTTCGCTTCACCTCAGGGGAGCTAAGGAATACCTAGTTTGTCTGAGTAACAGGAAAGATGGGAAGGGACCTTCAGGCTCGGGAACAGTAGCGAGCAGGCACTCTGGGGACCCTGGGAGTAGCCTTGCATGCCAGAAGTGGTGTCCACAAAAGCCTTGCTACCTTTTCTCAGATTGGCTTGGTCCAGCTGGGCTACCAAAGGGGGGAAGAAAGAGTCTCCGGGACATCCAGATTTGCCTCTCATCATCTCCCCCTTTTCTTCTTTGTATTAGTCTCCCTCACCAAAACCGCCAAGAAAGGCTTAGAACTGAAACAGAACTTGATAGAAGAGGTAAGAACATGTTCTTTTTATTTTTCCAGAGCTTGTATTTGGTTTATAAATGTGTGTGTAGGGCTGTTTGTCAGGGAAACATACTGTTTGGGGGAAAAAAAAAAGGTGCTGATCCAGCCCTTTCTCCTCCAGCAGCAGCACCAATAAAAATTCCCACAGTGATGGTTTCCAGCTTGATTGAGCCCTTACTCTGCCCTGCACGGCGCTGTTTCACATGTGAAGCACCCCCGTGAGGTAGATGCGAGGGGAAGTTATCGCTGTTTTGCGGTCTGGTAACTGAAGCTTGCAGAGATTTGTTAGTCTGCCCGATGTAAAAAAAAGCCAGGGAGTTACCAGGTGTGGGTAAATGCACCAAGCCAGTGTCTGCACTGCATCAGGCTGCAGGCTGGGTGAGAGCGGAGTTTCCTCCAGCACGAAGATGCCATTTTCCTTGAGACCACTTCATCGTGGCTGCAGCCAACAACGTGGGCGCCGCAGGGCTGATGAGCCGCCTCCCCTTATGACTAAATGACAAGACTTTACATGTTTCCATAAAGCAGGAGACTTCCTAGTGTAGCTAGGTTTCTAGATCGTCAGCAATTACTGGACAAAGAGAAGTGGTCAGTTGCAGCGGTGGCCACCGTAAGTCGGAAACCTGGGGAGACGGTGGGCTTTTGACCCGTGGCTCAGCCTCCCCCGCACTTTGCCATCACGACTGCTTTGCGTCAGGGCAGCCCCTGTACTTAGTATCCTGGCTTCAGTAGCAGAGGCAAGGAGGAAACAACCAGGTTAGAGGCTCTAAACATCCTCAGTTGTAAGAGACCTGGAGCAGTCTCTTTCCCACCTGAGGCCAGAGTACTGCCCAACCCCTGCTGCCCCTTGGACTCCAGAGCCCCATGAATTGTCCTGCAGCTTCGGAAATGTGTGGACACATACAAGTACCTCTTCGTCTTCTCCGTGGCCAACATGAGGAACAGCAAGCTGAAGGACGTCCGCAGTGCCTGGAAGCACAGCCGGTGAGCGGGCAGTGGGAGAAGGGCCCGAGTGCGGAGGGGCCAGGCTGCTTGCAAAGCGCAGGGGCGGTTAGGGACCTCCGTCACAGGTGGCGCCTGAATAAGGACAAAGTGCCACGCCCCCATCCCCGCTGAAGGGCCTTTTTAACTGTCCCTGAACCCTGGGGTCTGGTCCCTTAAGGAACATCCCACCCGTTCTGGTTCAGACCATTAAACAGGCCCCTTCCACATATCCAGACGCACTCACAGTGGGCTGAGACAGAATGTGAGTTTCAGGGTCTGTGCAGGAAAATAATGAGAGGGACCCTGGGCTGGCGGCAAAGTGAGCAGGGCTGCGTGGGAGAGTGGAGCCTCTGGCCACACCTTCTGCTACAAAACAGCCTGGGCCTTGGCTCGGGCTCCGGGGACTGAAGCTGGTTTGCACTGAAGTGAGGGCAGGGTGGGGCGCTTCCTTCACAGACCCCTCTTTTTCTCTGTAGGATGTTCTTTGGCAAAAACAAAGTGATGATGGTGGCCCTGGGTCGAAGCCCATCTGACGAGTACAAAGACAATCTGCATCAGGTGAGTCTCTGGCCCTCACAGGGAGGTGCCGAGGCCGGGCTGCCTTCTCCGCTGCTGTCACATGATGCACACTGCAGCCATCTGGCGGCCTGGGGTGGGCTTAAAGCTCGGTTCTCCTTTAACCTCCAGACCCAGAGAGTAGTGCTGCCCCCCTCCAGCTGTGACCAAAAATGTCTCCACGTGTTGCCAGATGAGGGGGCAGGGCCGGCAAAATGGTCCCCAGTTGAGAACCGCTGCTCTAATGTGACTGACCCCACCCCACTTTGGTTCTGTAGGTCAGCAAGAAGTTGAGGGGTGAAGTTGGTCTCCTTTTCACCAATCGCACTAAGGAGGAAGTGAACGAGTAAGTGCTCTGGAGGAGCGGTGGGAAGGGAAAGGTTGGCGAGGTCTCCGGGGAGGGAATAGCCCAGGACTTTGTACAGTAGAGGCACTGAGTAAAACCTGGTTCCTGGTTCCTGGAATCCCGTTACGGAGTCTCTGTTCTCCCGGGCTCGGATCTCCAGGCTGAGCCGAGGAGGAAGGGCAGTGAGGTGAGGCCCAGGCGGAAACCTACCCTCCTGCCACTTCTCCTTCCCCTCAGGTGGTTCACGAAATACACGGAGATGGACTACGCCCGAGCTGGGAACAAAGCCACTTTCACCGTGAGCCTGGACCCGGGGCCCCTGGAGCAGTTCCCGCACTCCATGGAGCCACAGCTGAGGCAGCTGGGCCTGCCCACGGCCCTCAAGAAAGGTACAGGGGCGTCCCCAGAGCTGAAAGGTCACAGCCGAGCGGCCGAGAGCACAGGTTTCCAAGCCAGACAACTCCCCCCTCACCCCCAATTTCTACCGGCCTCCATTTTCTCATGTGAAAACAGGACTAACAGCGCCCGCCTGACAGCTGGGGTGAATGTGGACAGTAAGTTACAGCTAGAATACAGCAGTTACAGGGCAAGGAAGGAAGGAGTCACTGCCCCCCAAAAACCCTCCTGGGCGGCTGAATGCTCACTGATGAACCCCTGCCCCGGTGCTGCTGGAAGCCTGGGGGCAGGGGGCCGGCCCGGTTCCTCTGGCCCTGCATAGGCCTCTGTGCCAGAGTAACTGCCTGGGGGCCCCCTTCTCTGTAGGTGTGGTGACCCTGCTGTCCGACTACGAGGTGTGCAAGGAGGGCGATGTGCTGACCCCGGAGCAGGCCCGTGTCCTGGTGAGTTCCCTCCGCCCCGGGCGTCCGCAGCTGCGGTGGGAGGGGTCGCAGACTCCTCTGACCCCACTCGCTCCTCCTGACCTTTGGGTCCCTTTGCCTCTGGCAGAAGCTTTTCAGGTATGAAATGGCCGAATTCAAGGTGACCATCAAGTACGTGTGGGACGCGGAGTCCGGAAGGTTCCAGCAGATGGGAGATGACTTGCCAGAGAGCGCGCCCGAGTCGGAAGTAGAATCAGAGGAAGACGATGACAGCTGACGTGCACTTGGGACGGGACCTCCGGGCCTGCTCCAGTCTTGTCTGGACTGGACGGCGTGAGACTGCCGCAGCCCTCTCGGGGGAGCTGCCGTGTGTTTTGCTGTGGATGCACACAAGGGAGGGTGACAGGGACAGGCTATCCTATAAATAATGAAACTTTGGCAGCAGGGTGTCTCCTCCAAAAGGGACTTTTCTAGGAAAAAACCCTTGGGTTTGGGCTTTGGTTTGGACCCCCAGGATTCTTAGTTCACCTCAAGCCAGTTTCCAGCACTGGCTCCTGTGTGACCACTGGCCGGGCGGCCCTGGGAGCACAAGAGGAAGCGCCTTCTCCTTTCCTCTGGCCCTCGGCGCCCCTGGCTTGAAACTGGGATTTGTTTGAGGAAAACAGGCACCCTGCCTGCCGCCCTCCTACCTCTACTCTCTATTCTCTTTCCCACCCGCAACCCCCAAAACCAGGGCCGAGAAACTTGTGGATGACCAGGAGACAGGAGGCGTTGGCTAAAGCAAAAATAAAGCCGCTGCTGAAACTGAATGAATGTAAAAAACATTCCACTGCATCCTGGGAGGTTTTAGTCTTCTGGGTGGTGGCTTCAGGTGGTAGGTTTTTGCCCAGATTGTTCTGTTTATAAGTATTTAATGAGGTAATTCTGAACGGGAGAAAATCTACCTCAGGGTGTATGGCCCTCTTTTTTTCTGTCACGTGTAGAAGCATGAGGGCCACCTGCAGCCCCGATGTTGAGAGGTCACACTAGGTTCAGGGCAGGAGGCTGGGAGACCCTCCCACCGCCTCTGCCCTTTGAAAACTAATCCCTACTCCTGCCCCCTTCTCACCAAGCCTGTGGGAGGACGAGAAACAGCCTGCAGGCTGCAGAGGAAACAGATTCACCAGATTCACTGTGGGCCTGGCTCCAGCCAGGTTAGTGCCTCTTTACTCAGACAGGAAATGCCTGAGGCCCTGGGCTTTTTACATGATGAAGGCAACTGGGAGTATTAAGAAGAACATAGGAGACAAACAAACAGTTTGTGAACTGGGACTGTGAGGAAAGAACTAGCTACATAAAGCAGCTTAAAGTCAGAACTGACTGGTTGAGAGAATAAAAGGTGATAGATGGAGTGTGTCCTCTGCCACCCCAAGTCAGGACTAGGCCTGGTGGAGGTAGTTCGGACATTCATGGGCAGACAGGTGCCAGGCCTGATCAAAGGCCTGCATGACGGCCAGCTCCAGGGGCTCTCCCTCAGCGGCCACCAAGTTCTGTTCTAGCTGCTCCAAGCTGGACATGCCCAGGATGACTGCGTCCCCCTGAACGCCCTGCAAGGGGAGACGGCCAGACATCAACACACTAGCGCGCCACAGTGACTCCAGTCACACACACCCACTCCCACCCTGCCCCTGCCAAGACCTGCAATCCGAAGTCTATACCCTATATTATTCCGCACGAACTTACATTGCCTTCGAACAGCTCTACGGCCCTGCTTCCCTAGACGCACGCAGGCAGACCCGAGTTCCCCTCTGCTGCTCAGCAGCTTGGAGGGCTTGGGCTAGTCATGTGACCTCCCTAAGCTTCAGGCTTCCTTAACTTTGCAGGGTGGTTGTGGGAGGTTTTTTTTTTGGCCGTGCCTTGCAGCATGCTGGATCTTGGTTCCCCAACCAGGGATTGAATCCATGCCTCCTGCAGTGGAAACACAGAGTCCTAACCACTGGACCGCCAGGGAATTCCCTACAATTTCATAAAGTTTGCTTCAGGCCTAGCACTTAACAGGGGCTCAAGAAAGAGGCACCATTAGTATGTGATGCCCAAGTTGGAGGAAGTTGTTGGGAAAGTGGGATGGCAGGGAGAGGGCAGCCCTGCCAGGGACATGGAGTTGGCCTCTGCAGAGCAGGCAGCCAGAGACAGATAAATGCTAATGCTGAAAAAATGTAGGTTTCAGCATCACACATAGCTTCTGCCCTATCTCATGTACCCACAGTTAGGTGAAGTGGCCTCTGAGCCAGTTTACTCATACGTAAAGTTGGGATAATTATACTTACTAGGGCCAGTAGTGTTTGTATTGTGACACTTAATAAACTTCTCTAAGAACAGGAATACCACCCAAAAGACCTGGGCCATGGAGACATTTCAGAAAAGGAAAAGGAGTAATCCAGAAATCATGAAATAATCACGCAGCCCTCTCTCACTTCCTCCTTCCTACCTGGAGCTGGGAGTGGTGGTACCTCCACCAGAGGGCGGCTGAGGTCGTGCTGGGGGCACTGGGGCCGTACGCAGCCTGCAGGCCTTCCCCACCAAGGCAACAGCCTCGAAGTAGTGCTTCCAGAAGCTGGGTGAGTGGAGAGGGTGGCACGGGTCAGGACGCTGGGATTCCTGCAGGTCACTGGTCCCTGAGGCACTGAGGGACCATCAAATGGAGGTTTTGTTTCCCTGAGCAGCAGAATGCATGTGGATTTCTGGGCCCCTCACCGGGGTGATTTCAACCCAGTGGTAGGAGCAGCGGGGATGCAGTGGGCAAGGACCCTTGCACTGAACATGCTCACCGGATGCGAACGACACAACTCCCCAGATTGGGAACCAGGAGTGTCCACAGCACCACACCTTTGTGCCCCGGGTCACAGACAGGACAAGTCCTGGCTCCAGTCCCAGCTCTGGCCTTGGCTCAGTCACCTGCCTTCACTTATCTGCTCAGTGAGGAAACACCCCGAGCCAGCCCCATGTGGTGAGTGCAAAATGTAAAGGAGATGATGGACCTGCAGTGCTCTGTCAACTAAGTAGAGCAGAGAAGGTGAAAACTATCAACCAAGGGCCTCCAGGGGTGAGGCCTGAGCGCTGGTGGTGTGACAAGCTCCTTGAGAGACACTGCTTAGAGCCATGGCTCCTAAACCTGGCCAGACAATCAGAAACCCTGGCAGGGGGCTTCCCTGGTGGTGCAGTGGTTAAGAATCTGCCTGCCAATGCAGGGGACACAGGTTCGATCCCTGGTCCAGGAAGATCCCTCATGCTGCGGAGCAACTAAGCCCGTGTGCCACAACTACTGAGCCTGCGCTCTAGGGCCTGTGAGCCACAACTACTGAGCCCACGTGCCACAACTACTGAGCCCGTGAGCCACAACTACTGAGCCTGTGCACCTAGAGCCAGTGCTCCGCAGCAAGAGAAGCCACCGCAATGATAAGCCTGTGCACCGCGACAAAGAGTAGCCCCCACTCGCCGCAACTAGAGAAAGCCCACGTGCAGCAACGAAGACCCACCGCAGTCAAAAATAAATTAACTAATTAATTTTAAAAAGTCCTGGGCCATTTCAACAAAACTAGCATTGAAGCCTTGGAGACTCAGCTTCTATAAATCTTGAAAGGAACTTTCCAGCAGTCCACAGATAATGTCTAAATTTGATAAATTAAGGAATAGCAGTAAAGTGTATGCATCAGAGATCTCACAGTAAATGCCAGAGGGAAGGAAAACTAGGAATTAAAAAGCATCACCTTGGAGGAGTGCGACTTGAAGAGGGCTTGCTTCTAACTGTGGGCATGTATTACTTTGATAACTTTTTCAAACTTGCAAAAATGAAAAAAAGGAAGGGAAGAAGGCTAGTCCCAACAGATGTTCAACTATAACTTTAGACGTTGATATCAGTGTTACTGCCAAGAGTTTACAAAACTTAGACTCAGTTGCCCCAGGTGACAGGCCAGCATCAAGCCCCAGGAATCCCAAGTTCCAATCCAAGGTTTCTTCTCCCTCTGTGGGCAGGGAGTAGGCTCTTCCCAGGGAAAAGACATAGCCTCACAGACCTGGTGGAAGGTCCAGAGCTCTACGCATTCCCAATCCAGGCCCCCAATCACTCCCCAGAGACACTGGCGGAATTTTAGCGGTAAATTTCTCAGTAAAGCTGGTTGGGATCTAGGGGCAAAGGTCTGAGAACAGAGGGAGGTCCTGGCCACCAAGAAAGCAGCCCCAGGGACTCCCCATTGCAGACTAAGGGGACCCACGCCACCTCCCACCCTGACGCAGCCCATGCCCAGCTCACCGATTCCTGTAGATCTCTGCCCAATTGGTCCCAAAGAAACGACCCACAGGTTGTTACCCATCCTTGTCCCCATCCTTGTACTTGCCGGTCAGCAGGCCCCCTGCGGGAAGGCTGTAATCAGATCCCCTGGCACTGCTCCCAGAGGCTGCTCTGGACTGGAAGTGGGGGTGATGGTGGGGGACCCAGGAGGGATGGAGGACCCAGCCCAGCCTCCTGTCAAACCCCTCCCTGCTTCCCAGGTCTGGGACCAGGCATCCCCAGGGTCAGGAACAAGCAGAAACACGGCCAGGAAGACCCGTTCACCCGGGGTGAGCCCGTCCCCACAGCAGCCCACACCCCATACCAGCCAAAGGGTTTTAGGCATAGAACCTCAGTCCTGAGGCAGGGGAAGAGCTCTGTCTCCACTTGCTGGGTGGTGGCGTTGTACATGCCCTGCAGGCAGAAGGGCCAGCTGGAGAGGGCGCATGGGACCCCAAATTTTCCTGTGGAGAACCTCAGTTCAGACCTTAACAATCAGGCAGATACTTAGTGGCGCTGGTGGAGAGGGCTCATGCCCAAGGAAAATTCATCCCTTCAGCCAACATTTCTGAGCACCACCTATGGCCTGGATACTGGATTTCCATCCACAAGCCAAAGGACAAAGCGGCTGCGCTCAGAGATTTAATAGTGAGCTAGAGTGTTAGCAAACATTCAATGAAAGAGACAATCGTAACACACTAGTAAGTTCTGTGACCACTGCCTGGCAGCAAGTAGGTGCACAAACATTGGCTGAATGAATGAGGAGGAGAAAAGGAGGACCTGAGATCTCAGGCTCCTCTGGGCTGTCAGGAAAGGCTTCCAGAGGAAGAGGCATCTAAGTGAGACCTGGGCACTCCTTCCAGGGAGAGCAGGGAGGAGTGTTCCAGGCTGACTGCAGAGCGAGAAGCAGGCAGGAAGGGGAGCCAGAGCCGGAGAGAGCAGGCGCCTGTTTGCCAGGCTGAGGGTACCCGGGAGCCATCTGCAGGCTGTGAGCAGGGGAGGCAGGGGGGTGGCTGCTATGCAGAGGGCATGGGGAGGGGGGGACATTGGGGGGGAGTGGGAGGGGCCACGGGGACCCGGGATCAGCAGGCACCCAGGAGACAGAGGCCTCTGCAGCCCCGGCCTCACCTGGTACACAGTGGGCAGGATCCAGTTGTTGCTCTTGCACAGGGTACAGATCTCGGCCACTTCCCAGGCAGCATAGTTGGAGAGGCCAAGCTCCACAAACTTGCCCTGCGGGGGAGAGGCCAAGGTCAGAACCCACTGCAGCCCAGAACAGCAGGAAGGAGAGACTGGCTGGGGACCCTGGGAGTGGGGTCTGTCCCCAGCTCTGCTCTGGGACAGCCCTGGAGCCTCCACTCTCCTGGGCAACGACAGGTCAAGGAGAGGAGCTGGGGGGCCGCCCTCACCTCCTGGTGCAGCTGGTGGCAGGCACGCAGTGTCTCTTCCATGGGGGTGCCGTGGTCCGGCAGGTGCAGGTAAAAGAGGTCTACTCGGGGGCACTGCATCCACTTCAGTGACGTCTCCAGCTGGGACCAGAGGCTGTCAGGTTTCAGAGACTTTTCACCCACTGGATTGGCCTTGGTGGTGATTTTCACTTTGGGAGGAGAGAAATGGAAGTCCAAGTCAGTTTACCAAACGCTGGAGAGGATCTAGTGTAATGGTTAAGAGACAGACCTGGGTTCACACCCCAACTCTGCCAGTTCGAGCTCTGTGACCCTAACCAAGTTATTTAAACTCTCTGAGCCTCAATCCCCTCAACTGTAAATTGAGTGATATCTTGTCAGGAGGCCCCAAGGACTGATCAGAACTTTGATAGATTTGCTCATTATGAGCTGCTAATGTTATTACGATGACTATTTACCAGACAACTGGGTGTGCCACGCCTGGCGCTAAGGGCTGGATGAGGAAGGCCAGCAGTGGATGCCTGCCGTCAAGGGCGCACAGTCTAAGGGGCCACTATAGAGTAAGTGAGGCCGGGATAAGCACAAGGTGGGAGAGGAGTCCTGGGAGTTCAGGGAAGGCTTTCTTAGAATCTGAATCTCCAGGGCCAGTCAGAGGCCGCCCAGAGGCAAGAACGTGGCGTGTGAGGAGCCATGCCTGCGACCCCATGGATCTAGAACACCAGGTCCACGGGGCACACAAGGCAAGAGAAGGGGCCACAGACCAGATGGATACAAAGGGCCCTGAGTGCACCCCTTCGAATCTGACTTCAGGGGGCCACAGGAGACTGAACACTTTTCAGCCAGAGAGCTAAGTTGTCAGCTTTGCAGTTTTGAAAGATGACTCTGAATGAAGCACACACAAAAACCTCAGGGACAGGTCTGGAAACAGGGCAAATGGCGAGGCTGCGGCAGGAATTCAGGAAAGAGAGCAAGAGGCCTCAACTGGGGCCCCAGGGAAGGAAAGGCAAGATATTTCCATCAGAGAAATAGCCCATTGAGAAAAGGCTGGTGGTGTGCCGCCTGTGTGAGTCAGGAGTGAGTTAATCAAATACTTTTCTCCCCACCCCCATTAAGAATCCCAGGTGGGGGCTTCCCTGGTGGAGCAGTGGTTAAGAAGCCACCTGCCAATGCAGGGGACACGGGTTCAAGCCCCGGTCTGGGAAGATCCCACATGCTGTGGAGCAACTAAGCCCGTGTGCCACAACTACTGAGCCTGTGCTCTAGAGCCCGTGAGCCACAACTGCTGAGCCCACGTGCCACAACTACTGAACCCACATGCCACAACTACTGAAGCCTGCGCACCTAGAGCCTGAGCTCTGCAACAAGAGAAGCCACTGCAATGAGAAACCCGCGCACCACGACGAAGAGTAGCCCCCGCTCTCCGCAACTAGAGAAAGCCCGGGGCTTCCCTGGTGGCACAGTGGTTGAGAGTCCACCTGCCGATGCAGGGGACACGGGTTCGTGCCCCGGTCCGGGAAGATCGCACATGCCGCGGAGCGGCTGGGGCCGTGAGCCATGGCCGCTGAGCCTGCGCGTCCGGAGCCTGTGCTCCGCAACGGAAGAGGCCACAACAGCGAGAGGCCCGCGTACCGCAAAAAAAAAAAAAAAAAAACAGAAATAGACTCACAGACCGAAAACAAACTTATGGTTACCAAAGGGGGAAGGGGTTGGGATAAATTAGGAGTTTCAGATTAACATATACACACTAATATATATAAAATAGATAACCAGCAAGGACCTACTGTATAGCACAGGGAACTATACTCAATATCTTGTAATAACCTATAATGGAAAGGAACCTGAAAAAGAATATGTATATACATATTTAGTTATACATATATAACTAAATCACTGCTGTACACCTGAAACTAACACAACATTGTAAATCAACTAGACTTCAATAAAAATTTAAATTAAAAAAAAAAAAGAAGACCAGAGTTGTCACAGAGAGGCAGTCAGGTGATCTAGATAGCATATGAGATGCATGCGTATTCTTGTTTTGTTTCAGATCTGTGCTGTGAATCATTTCACTCTGAGGACCTCAAAGTAAAAGATGGTACATGGTGCTAATGATAACACTACTACTTCTACTACTAACAGTAACAGCTAACATTGCTGAGCCCTCACTATGTCCCTGTGAGGCACGTTATAAACATTTCAGATGGCATCAGACTGATGACAGATGTCCCCCTACCCCCATACACAAACCCTCCACTTAGCTAGGTCTGCCTGTTCCAAAACCCTCAGCACTGCCAAATCTCATTGCCTTTGCACACTCACTGCCCACCCGCGCAGCCGGGAATGCCCTTTCTCCTCTTACTCCCCCTGGAAAACTAGCAGTTCTTCAAGGTCTGACGTTCCGTTTTCCTAGTGTTCTTCAGTGTCCCCTCCCATCTCTAGACTCTGAGTTCCCTGGAGTGGGTTAGTGTCAATTTCCCTTCTATGGCCTTGGACGGAGGCTGGCACAGAGAGGGCAGTTAGACACCATACTACCCCCACTCTCCCATCCCAGCTACTGCCTATAGCTCCTGCGGTTCCCAGGCGCGGCCACCCTGGTGAAGCGGGAGGCACTGCCAACTGAATGGCGCACCCCGAGCTCCACGCAGCAGTCTACAGCCCAGAGCAACGAGGAAGCAGATACCCGCCGGTTCCGAAGCCTGATCTGGGACTATGCCAGGAAGTGCCAGGGCCATAAGGGCAGGATTCCTGCAGATCAGGACCGCACCCGGCACCTGCGGCGAAGGGGAAGGAGGCAGGGGCTGCACAGCGCCAGACTCCGTTTTCAGTCCCCCCGAGAGGGGCTAGCCAAGTCGTTCCAGGATAGACCAGGGTTGGGACGTTGCTGAGGGGAGGGAAAAGGAGAGGAAAAGAGTCAAGACAAAGCACTGTCCGGCTGTCCGGGGCTAGATGTGCACGGGGCCTGAGGAGCGGGGTGTTCACAGAGCTGCGGGGTGGCCAGTGGAGGTCGGCGCCCCGGCAGGAGGGCGAAGCTATCGGTCCTGACCTCGGCCGGTGCATGGCTCGGGGGAGGTAAGGGGGACGGAGTCTGGGTGCCAGGAATTACCTCTGCAGTCGCCACCGCCCAGCCGGAGCCCCAGGCCGCCCAGGATGCTCTCGGACGTACGCTAGGGCCGTGTCCATATCGGTGTGGCCGCGCTCCCGGAAGAGGGGCACGGCCGCTCCATCTCCATGGCGCCCAGCACGGTGCCTGGGCGGCCCGGGGGGCCAGAGGCTGCCTGCGGGGGCAACAGCAGCTGGGACACTGCGGCGGCGGGGGGGGCCTGCGATAGCCCGCTGGAACGCAGCCGAACGTAGCACTAGCCCCCGCCCGAGGTGGGCCACCGCTTTAAGGAGGGGGTCGGGCCCCGCCCACCGGCGTTGGGGGCGGATCGCGCGGAGGGGCGGGGCAAGGGAAGTATGGCGAAAGGCTGCGCGGCGCCCCCGCCTCTCACGCCTGCGGCTCCCCACCTCCCTCGGCTTGGCTCCTGAGCTGTCCTGGGGTCCACGTGTTCTTCCAGAGGGGGCTTTCCTAAGGGCTAAAGGTCCTAAAATGATGTCTTGGCCCAGGGGTGGTGCCCTCAGGGGTGTCCCGCCACCTTGCCGGCCCCAGAAGTCGGCTCTGTGGTCTTCCCGTCAGGACTTGCCAAAGGCTCCAGCCCGCGTCAGTATTTAAGTATTGAAAGAAAAGAGCTGTCAGCCTCGAATCCTATACCCAAGCGAAAACACCTTTCAAAAAGGAAAGCAAAGACTTCGTTCAGACAAAGGTTGGGGAGAATTCATAGTAGCCGGCTTTCACTATAGCAGATATTTAAAAAAATTCTTTAGACGGAAGAAAAGTTGGATTTACACACACAAAAAGTGAAGAGTGCTGGAAATGGTAAACGCGAGGATGAATATAAAAGACTTTGTCAGATAAGTGAGTTTCAGGTGGAAAGTATTATTATTATTTTTACTGCAGACATCAGTAGTTTATTGTTTTAGTCCAAACACATTCAAAATGGAAACTCAAAGAATACTTTCCACCTGAAACAATTATCTGAGACAGACAATACAGATAACTTTTAAACAGATAACTGAGTTTTTATAAAGTTAAAAATACAATTACTGTATGACTCAGCAAAAACCCCATTAATCTTCATGAACCTACATATAAAAACCTTTGACCAAGCGAATACAGTGATATATAAAAAGGATAATACATCACTTCTCAGTGAATTTCATCCCATGAATACAGTGGGCTTTATATTTGAAAATCAATCAATATAGTTTACTATGCTGACCAAAAAAGAAAACCCATATCATCATCGCAATTGATGCAAAAAAAGCATTTAACAAAATTCAATACTTATTCATGAAGAAAGAAGGGGGAAAAAAAAGAAAAAAACTAAGAAGAAAAGGGAGTTTCCCCAAACTGATAAAGGGCATATACAAAAAACATATAGCTGACATTATATTTAATAGTGAAAAAACTTTCCCGCTAAGATTGGTAACCAGTCAATGATATCTGCTCTTACCCCTTTTATTCAATGTTGTGCTGGAGATACTATTTATGCCAACATATTTCAGCGTGCGTGTGTTATAACAGGCAATTTCTTACATAACTACAATGCCATTGTCACACTAAAAAAAATGAACAATTCTTTTGTGTCACTTAATACCACATCCATATTCAAATATCCCTGTTTTTTAAAAAAGTTTCAGTTGGCTTGAATTAGGATCAAACATGGTTTACACATTACATTTGGTTGTTATATAGCAAAAGTCTATTTTAAACTTCAGTCTCACCCCTTTTTATGCATTTGCTTATAGAAGAGACCTATTAGTTGTGCTATAGCATGTCCCACATTCTTTTTGCATAGTCATAGTTTCATTTAACTTGTTCCTCATACTTTCTGTCAAATGGAAGGTAATGCTAAAGGCTAGATTATATTCTAGCGCACCTTTTTAAAATTTTTTGTAAGAATGCTGCATCAATGGTACCGTGTACTTCCTGATGCATCACATCAGGGAGACACAAACAGCATGGTTGACTCACTCCTAATAATGCTGAGAGCAAGCAGTGGGTTCATGTGGTGTCAACCTGTTCCCCCCACTGTAAAGTTCCCATGGGTCTTTCATCTTATGGTTTCATCTGTTGATGACCTTTGCCTGAATCAATCAAGATAGAATTTTTAAGTCTCAGATTATGTTGTGTACATCCTAAATACAGATCTCTTGAGTATAAGGTTAATATGTATAACCTTCTGACTACAGTTGGCCCTTGAACAACATAGGTTTGAACTACGCAGGTCCACTTATACGTAGATTTTTTTCAATGGTAAATATTACAATACTGCACAATCCAAGGTTTGTCGAATCTGAGGATGTAGAATCTCTGGTGCAGAAGAGGGAACCATGGATACAGAGGAACCTCATATGCAGAGGGCTGATTACAAGTTATATGCAGATTTTCGACTGTGAGGAGGGTCAGCACCCCTAACCTCCACGTTGTTCAGGGTCAGCTGTACGTTTAAATGAGAAGAAAAGTACAAGTATGCCTTTTTTTTTTTTTTTGCGGTACGCGGGCCTCTCACTGTTGTGGCCTCTCCCGTTGTGGAGCACAGGCTCCAGATGCGCAGGCTCAGCAGCCATGGCTCACGGGCCCAGCCGCTCTGCGGCATGTAGGATCTTCCCGGACCGGGGCACAAACCCGTGTCCCCTGCAACGGCAGGCGGACTCTCAACCACTGCGCCACCAGGGAAGCCCAGGTATTCCTTTTTTTAATTAAACTTTTTAATTTTTGAGAAAATTTTAGATTCATATACCATTGTAACAAATAATATAAAGAGATACCTTGTTCCCTTTTCCCAGTTTCCCTCAGTAGCAACATCTTGCAAGATACTATTTTTCTTAGGTGGAGTGTCCTATAAATGTTGATTAGATCTGCTGGTTGATGACTCCTTTGAGTTCTTCTATAACCTTGCTGATTTTCTGGTAGTTGTTCTACCTGTTGTTAAGAGACGGGTGTTGAATTCTCCAATTACAATTTTTTTTTTTTTTTTTTTTGCGGTACGCGGGCCCCCACTGCTGTGGCCTCTCCCGCTGCGGAGCACAGGCTCCGGACGCGCAGGCTCAGCAGCCACGGCTCACAGGCCCAGCCGCTCCGCGGCATGTGGGACTTCCCAGACCGGGGCACGAACCCGTGTCCCCTGCATCGGCAGGCAGACTCCCAACCACTGCGCCACCAGGGAAGCCCTCCAATTACAAATTTTTTAAAAAAATATTTATTTATTTTGGCTCCACCGGGTCTTAGTTGTGGCACATGGGATCTTTAGTTGTGGCACATGGGATCTTTTTTTTAGTTGCAGCATGTGGGATCTAGTTCCCTGACCAGGGATTGAACCCGGGCCCCATGCAATGGGAGCGCAGAGTCTTACCCGCTGGACCACCAGGGAGGTCCCCTCCAATTATAATTGTGGATTTATCTCTTTCTATTTTCATGTCTATCAATTTTTTCTTCACATATTTTGGCAGCTCTCTTTGGTGTTTAAACATTTAGGATTGCTATTCCTTGATGGGTTGACTCTTTTCATCATTATATAATGTCCTTCTGTGTCTCTGATAGTTTTCTTTGTTCTGAAGTCTACTTTCTTAGATACCTATATAGCCATGTTGGCTTGCTCTTGATTAATGTTTGCATGATATAACTTTCACCATCCTTTCACTTTCAGCCTGCCTATATCATTATATTTTAAGTGAGTTTCTGTAGAAAGCATGTAGTAAGGTCTTTTTTTTTTTTTCGGTATGTGGGCCTCTCACTGTTGTGGCCTCTCCCGTTGCAGAGCACAGGCTCCAGATGCGCAGGCTCAGCGGCCATGGATCACGGGCCCAGCCGCTCCGCGGCATGTGGGATCTTCCCGGACCGGGGAACGAATCCGTGTCCCCTGCATCGGCAGGCGGACTCTCAACCACTGCGCCACCAGGGAAGCCCGTAAGGTCATTTTTTAAAACCCACTCTACTAAGCTCTGTCTTTGAAATGATATATTTAGGCCATTTACCATTAATGTAATTATTTACAAGTTAGGGCTTAAGTCTGACATTTTATTTTTGGTTTTGTTTTATTCTCTTTATTTTTTTTCCCGCCACACCACATGGCTTTAGTTCCCCGACCAGGATCGAACCCAGGCACCCTGCAGTGGAAGCATGGAGTCTTAATCACTGGACCACCAGGGAATTCCTTAGTCTCAGTTTTTTGTTTCTTTTTTTTTTTTTATGCTTTCCTGTAGGTTAACTGAACATTTTTTAAAGAATTATATTCTGATTTAATTACAGTGTTTTTGAGTATTTCTCTTTGTATAGATTTTTTAAATATAAATTTATTTAATTAATTTATTTATTTTTGGCTGTGTTGGGTCTTTGTTGCTGCGCGCGGGCTTTCTCTAGTTGCGGCGAGCGGGGGCTACTCTTCGTTGTGATGCACAGGCTCCTCACTGTGGTGGCTTCTCCTGTTGCAGAGCATGGGCTCTAGGCATGTGGGCTTCAGTAGTTGTGGCTCGCAGGCTCTAGGCACACAGGCTTAGTAGTTGTGGAACTCGGGCCCAGTAGTTGTGGTACACGGGCTTAGTTGCTTCATGGCATGTGGGATCTTCCCGGACCAGGGATCAAACCCATGTCCCCTGCATTGGCAGATGGATTCTTAACATCTGCGCCACCAGGGAAGTACCTGTATTGCTCTTTAAGATTGCTCTAGAGCAACAATCAACTGGTGGCATCATTTTACAAGTTTAAGTGTAGAAACCTTAACTCCCTTTCCATTCCTTCACTCTCCTCTGTTTATAATAGTCTTAAATATTTCTCCTACATGCATTTAGAACCACATCAGTGTTATAATTTTTGCTTCAACCATCAAATGTAATTTCGAAAACTTAAGGGAAGGAAGACCTATTTTATTTACCTGTATTCTGCTACCATGTTTTTTCTTCCTTCCTGATGCTCCAAGATTCCCTCTTTCATCATTTTCTATTTGTTTGTTTGTTTGTTTAGAGAACTTCCTTTAGCTATTCACTTAGTGTGGATCTGCTGACAACAAAGTTGTAGTTTTTCTTCATCTGAGAATGTCTTGATTCCCCCTTCATTCCAGAAGGACATATTTGCTGGGTATAGGATTCTGGGTTGATGATTCTTTTCTTTCAGCACTTGAAAAATTGTTGCACCACTTCCTTCTTTTCTCAGTATTTGCTGGCATGAGTGATAGTAAGGGAGGCCAGAGTTTTTATTCTATGACGTTTGGCTGGAGTACACTTTTCTGTCTTGCCAGGATGCCCCTTTCCTAGTTCTTTGGCTAGAGAAAGCAGGCTTTTGTTGGGGCTTTTTCTGTCTATGTCAGTCAGCATTTCCAGGTTGTTGGCTTTGTCAGCTCTGAGTTTGGGATATATAAGGAAAAAGAAAACTTAGGAAACTCACCTCTGTCATTCCTTGGGTACTGAGGTCCCTAGCTAGTCTGGGTTCTCCTTTCTGCCTTTCAGAGTCTTCTCATGTTTGTGTTATGCATGGTGTCCAGGGTTTTTATTTGTACTTAGTAGGAGGAATAAGGAAAAGTATGTCTATTTCATCTTCCTGTAAGCAGAGGTCATTTTGGCATGTTAAAAAATAAAGTTACAAATACACTTTTCATATGATTTAGCACTCCCACTTCTAGATGTGTACCAAAGAAAAATAAAATCATACGTTCAAATACTTACACACAAATGTTTATGTAAGCACATTCACAAGAGCCCGAAACCGGAAACAACCAATTAACTTGTGGTATACCCATACAATGGAATATGATATAATCAGCAATAAAAAGGAATGAACTACTGGTATACACAACAACATGGATGAATCTCAGAAATATCATGCTATGGGACTTCCCTGGCGGTCCAGTGGTTAGGACTCCACACTTCCACTGCAGGGGGCACAGGTTTGATCCCTGGTCGGGGAACTAAGATCCCACATGCCACGTGGCAGGGAAAAAAAAAAATCATGCTAAGTGAAAGAATCCAGACACAAAAGACAATGTATTGCATGATTCCACTTTTATAAAATTCTAGAAAAGGCAAATTAATAGTGACAGAAAGCAGAGTAGTGGTTTCTAGGAGCAGAGTTTGAGGGATGTAATTGACTACAAAGTAGCATAAGGGACCAACTACACACTTAAAATTGGTGACTTTTATTGTATGTAAGTTATACCTCGATAAACCTTGTTGTTAAAGATTTACATTATTCCTAAACACAAATTAAAACCACAATGAGATACATTCCCCATGAGAATAGGTAAAATGAAAATAACTTAAAAAACCAATTAGTTTACCATCATGGTTGGAGGCTACATTCCTCCACTGTCTGAATCATGCTTCCTTATCACTGGACAAGTCTTGTACCTAAGGATCCATAGCGCCATTCATCTGGGTAAAGCAGAAGTTGAGATATTCTCTGTCTCTATAGGGTGGACAACTGCTTATTCATGAAAATACCTAAGGACCAGGCTTTGTCCTTGACTGGATCTTCTAGTACATCACAATAATTCTTTTTTGGACATGACCCAACTTACATGGTTTTGATTCAGAAAGAACTTATTATTAAGGATGAGAACGTTGAATTGGAGAATTAGAGCTTCCTTTTATTTATTTATTTTATACAGCGGGTAGAGCTTCCTTTTTTTTTTTTTTTTTTTTAAATAGATTTATTTATTTATTCTGGGCTGCGTTGGGTCTTCGTCGCTGCCCGCGGTCTTTCTCTAGTTGCTGAGAGCAGGGGCTACTCTTCGTTGTGATGCACGGGCTTCTCATTGCCGTGGCTTCTCTTTGTTGCGGAGCACAGGCTCTAGGCACATGGGCTTCAGTAGTTGTGGCACGTGGGCTCAGTAGTTGAGGCTCGTGGGCTCTAGAGCGTAGGCTCAGTAGCTGTGGCACACGGACTTAGTTGCTCCGCAGCACGTGGGATCTTCCTGGACCAGGGGTTGAACCCATGTCCCCTGTATTGGCAGGTGGATTCTTAACCACTGCGCCACCAGGGAAGTCCCCAGAGCTTCCTTTTAAACAAGACAATTTCTTTATTAGCCTCTAGTAATAGATTAGCTCAAAGGGTGTGCACTGTGCACCAGAAGGATCAAGTTCAAAGTTCAGGGGACAACAAATACCAGCAGTGTCTAAATGCCAAAGCCTCTAAGCAGTGATGTGATTATTATAAATACCTATAATTCTTTGGGGTTTGAATGGGATAAAAAGAAGAGCTTGAGTTGCTGCCATCTAGAACACTTTCAAAGCTTTCTTACTTTAGGAGGCTCCTTTCACATTCAGATGTTTATCTGATACCTTGATACAGAAGATTTAATAGAATTTCCAGGTTAGAATGTGCTGTCCTCAGGTATCGCAATGTTAGGCTTTATCCTTCATGTTTGGGGGCCATGAGGTAATAATTTGTCTTATACAATCTGTGAAATGCCTTTGGAAGCTACTTAAATAGCCCCACATAAAGATTACTTAAAGGATATGGCTTGGATTTGTCCTCATTCGAGACCTGTTCATTTTTATCCAGCTGTGTTTGGATAGCATGCAATGAGGGGGTCACTATCAGAATATACTGCTTAATTTCATTATTGTAATGGGATGTTTGGACATCTATTAGCATATATTATTGTACAAGTGTTTTTTTGCCCAATTAATGAAATAATACAGGTGAATTTTAAATAACCCGGTGAAAGGAAGAGAATGTGTACTGCATACACTGCCAGGTGAAAGAAAAGAAGACTTCAGCAAAATCCAGGGTCACATACCAAGTGCCAGTAGTGGCAACAATTCAATCACCGATGTTCACTGCTGATGGAGCAAGAGTGGCCACTTTTTACTTAAACCCCATTTGTCCACAATGATTTGCCAAGCACAACTGTCTCTTTTCAGAGATAAGGCTATTAAACGGAGAGACAGCATTGTAGCAATCCTTGAATGAGGAGGGTACTTTTTTCTCTCCTCTATGTTGTACTGTTACAATTCTTTGACTTGTAAAGACTTTGGAATATAGGCAATCCCCCTTAACGCTTTCTGCTGAATTTATGGAGGCAATTCCATAGGGATCATGAATGCTTCTAACCAGCACATCAAAGCATTTGCACCTTGCGGAAATAATTCTAAACGCACTAATCAACAAGGCAGTTCAGTAAGGGAATCACCACTGTATGCCAGACAAAATACTCAAAAGCTCTCATATTAAGTTCAGTTTCAGGCCATAGTACCAATCCCTTTAACAACAAGCCATAGCAATATAACTTTACATGAGGGGAACCTCTAGGGAGAATCCTTTTTTCCCTCAACCTCGGCATAAACCTAGGCTTTTTTCTCAGGCTTTGCGCATCAGCACAGAACAGCTATTATTCTAACAGGGTTAGCCAAAGGATCAGAGCCAAAGCAATTGTCAGTTCGGAAAGGCCAGATGCCTAGCTAATCAAATATTAAATACTAGATTTCCATTTCTCAAGAAAGTTGATAATAAACATATGATTTGCTTGTAGTATATCCGTTAACAGTTACCATCTACCATGGAGAATGTAACACCACCACCGGCCACATGAAAAGCAGAAAACACAAACCTGAACTGGTGTTACAGACTAAATGTCTGTATCCCCCCCAAATTCATATGTTGAAACCCTAACCCTAAAGTGATGGTGTTGGGAGGTGGGGCCTAGGGGAAGTGACTAGGTTTAGATCAGGTGTGAGAGTGGCACCCCCGTGATGGAATTAGTGTCCTCAGAAGAAGGGGAAGAGACTAGAGATCTCTTCCTTAGCCATGTGAGGACACAGCAAAAAGAGGCTGTCCAACCAGGAAGAGGCCCTCACAGACTCCGAATATGCTGGCACCTCCATCTGGGACCTTCCAGCCTCCAAAACTGTAAGAAATAAATGTTTTTTAAGCCACCCAGTCTATGTTATTTTGTTATAGCAGCCCAAACAGACTAAGACAAGTGGCATGAGCATCTCAAAATAACTGCTAATTTTTAAAGTAGAAAATTGTGTCAGAAGATGATGATTTATCTTTTTGGAAAAAATATTTATTTGGCTGCGCTGGGTCTTAGTTGCGGCACGTGGATCTTCATTGCGGCATGCGGGATCTTTAGTTGCGGCATGAGGGATCTTTAGTTGTGAAAGATGATGATTTATCTTGTACAATGTAGGAAGTCCATTTTCTTATCATGTATAACTTTTTTTTTTTTGTCTGCGTTGGGTCTTCGTTGCTGTGCGTGGGCTTTCTCTAGTTGCAGCGAGTGGGGGCTACCCTTCGTTGTGGTGCGCGGGCTTCTCATTGCGGTGGCTTGCTTCTCTTGCTGCGGAGCATGGGCTCTAGGCGCGTGGGCTTCAGTAGTTGTGGCGTGCGGGCTCAGTAGTTGTGGCTCACGGGCTTAGTTGCTCCGTGGCATGTGGGATCTTCCCAGACCAGGGCTCGAACCTGTGTCCTCTGTATTGGCAGGCGGATTCTTAACCACTGTGCCAACAGGGAAGTCCTCACGTATAACTTTTGATCTAGATTATATAATTATTCTTCTCAATTAAATTCGCTCATTTTTCATTCTACGGTTTCTTATGCATGTCAGAGGAGTAAAGCAGCAGCTGCTGATGTGTGGTATCAAGAATAGAAATACTTCACAAATAGAAAATAATGCCAGTTTTGTATCAGTGTCAGATACTTCAAATAGAAAATCAGTCAATTCCAATAATAATTAAAAATTTTCCACCCAATTCATGGAATCAAAGTAAAGCTTTTGGAAGTTCTTTTTGTTGAAGGTGACACTACTGTGAATGGTATTTTAAATTCAGTTATAAAGTTCAACAATGAAGATAAACATGTTTTTGCAATGGCCACATATATACTTACAAATCTTCGTGCATCACAGTGTTTGTTAAAAATAATCTTATTAAATTAAAAACCAACAGTGGTTCTCAAACAAGTGTGCATTAGAATTACCTGAAGGGCTGCTTAAAACAAATTGCAGGGCCCCACCCACTAGAGTTTCTGATTTAGTAGGTCAAGCATGAGGCACAGTAATTTGCATTTCTAACAAGTTCCCCAACGATGCTGATGCTGATGCTGCTGGCCCTGAGACCACATTTTGAGAGCAACTGGCTTACAATTTCACTGTTAGAAGCTCTCTATCACTATGTAATTCAATTCATACAGTATAGACCAGGAGTCTGCAAACTATTGCCCATGGCCAAATCTGACTCACTGCCAGTTTTCACAAATAAAGTTTTATTGGAAATTTGGAAAAAAGCCATATCTATTTACTTATCACCTGTGGCTGCTTCCTCACTACAAAGGCAGAGTTGAATCACTGCAACAGAGAACATATGGCCTGCTGATATGGACTGAATGTTTGTGGGTTAGTTTAGGGCTAATCCACTAACTGGTTGGGTGGCACTTATAATAGTCACTATACAAATTCACATGTTGATCTAATCACCAGTGTGATGGTATCAGGAGGTGGGGCCTTTGGGAAATTCTTAGGTTATAAGGGTGGAGCCCTCATGAGTGGGATTAGTGCCCTTATAAAAGAAACCCCACAGAGCTCCCTTACCCCTTCTGCCAAATGAGAACACAGCAAGAAGATGGCTGCCTATGAACCAGAAAGCAGGTTCTCACCAGACACCAAATCTGCTGATGCCTTCATCTTACACTTCTAGCCTCCAAAACTGAGAAATGTCTACTGTTTATAAGCTACTCAATCTGTTGTATTTTGTTTTAGCAGCCCAAATGGACTGACACCCACAAAATATAAAATACTTACTACCTGGCCCTTTACAGAAAAGATTGCTGACCTCTGATACAGACCACAGTGGAATTAAGTTTTCCTTATATTATCATGAGACTACAGAATATTGACTTACTCGTATATTCATTGATCATTCTCTACTCCTACAATGCCATTTTCCACTTTGATAACAACCACAAGAAAATTCTTTAACAACTGGTATTTACTATTACTATTAATGTCCCTAGTAAGAGCATTTGTTATTAAGTACAAGTCTCTCCAATATGGAATTGGAAAGATTCTTGGGAAGCAATAAAGATTTTCAAAAAGCTGCTTGTGTGAAAGTTGGGAAAGTCAGGGTTGTTTTATTATACCTAGAAGAGTGCTGAGGCAGAAGGAGTGTTAAAAAAATTAAAAAATAAAAACATATGAAGGAGAAATGTATTTTCTCATAAGCAATTAAGGATCTTGACATTCCGACCTTCCTTACTGCTTCTAAAATGTATTCAGAATGCAAATTTGACACTGGTGAATTAACCATCACAACCCCTAGTAACAAGCAGGCCAGAATGCAGAGG